AAAAAAATAATTAATAAAATGTATGTAGAGTCGATAACTTGCGGGCACAAATCTGTAAAAACTATCCTCAGTCAAAAAGTCAAAACCGCCAGTATTTTTTATGCAAAAGTGTGTCTAACAGTTGTTGCAATAAAATGGAATAAAATATATAAAATGCTAGTAAATAATAGGAGTCCATTACAAATGTTCACCAATATGAATGAGTAAGAAGTAATTGCAAAGTAATAAATAAATGGTGAATGGACCGAGATATTTAGAACTTTATCTCGGTGAAAACAGGATACCTATCAAGTAGAAAGTTGCTTGAACAAATACGTGAAACTGCCACAGCTTGGCAAAGATGTCATGGTACTTACGTATTAACTCCAGCGCAGCAGAGTAAGTTGCGCTTATACGCCAATAGAGAGCAATCTTGTTGTTCACACGCCCACGCAGTATCTTAGGTTAGGTTAGATTTTGATTATAAATAAAATATTTTATTTAAAATCAAAACCTAATCTAATCTAAACCGCCAAATCTGTAGCTGCGGTGGCGTTAATACGTAAGTACCGTTGTCCTCTTGAAAGAAGGCATCAGAACATAGGCACTATATGTACATATGTATTTCTTTATATATCTTAGATATGTTCAAGTTTGGGTCAGCGCCCTGCACATCAAATTATAAAACTGCAATTGTCCGTTTACTATCTCTCTTTATCCTTTAAACGAGCAATTATTGTTTATATATAATTGGAATCTCGGTAACAGCTTCAGCGATTTTCATGAAATTTAGTATGTGCGTAGATTCGGAGGCGAAAAATCGATCTAGCTAGGTATCATTTTTAGAAAATGTCCTTTTATCCCTGTTTTCAGTGAATGAAAAATATCATTCGAATATGACGGTAAATTTCGCCGCAAAAAAAAATGTTATTATAGCTCAGTCGGTAATCGGGCGGCCCCAAAACAGATGGCCGCGGTTCGTATCACTATCATTTACACACTTATTTTTTTACTTTTTTTTCTATACCAGATCATTTTATTTATTTTTTATTTTTTTATTTCCAAAATACAAGATATACCAAAAAAAAATCGAGCAAAGCTCGGTCCTCCAGGTACTTTATATTTTTCAGCGTGAGCAGCGGAATTTGTATTCACTTTCGTTTGTAAACGTTAAATCCACACATTGAATTAATATAATGTGTAAATTTTCTCGGGTACCTACCTACGAATATTACATATACCTACATTTTTAAAACACCGAGGTAATACGGCCATCAAAAGATATAAGTATAGTGCATGCTAAGAATACTGTAATGCATCAAGTGTCACACATTATTGCGGTTTATAAATTTGCAAATATATTAGCAATGTTCCAAATATAAAAGGCACTTATTTCAAGAGCCGCGTATGTCATGACTGTGAGAGTAATACCTACCCCGCTCTTGGCGCTCGATCAAGCTAAACAAAACCGCGCATTTGCCCACGCGCGATATTTAAAAGCGATTCCAGAAAAGTGGGAAAAGCTGTCTGTTATATAATAAATGAAACGCCGGGTCCGCACCGAGCTACTTCGACTGGGTATTTTTTACTTTTGAACGAATGTGCCACAAAACGCGAAGTTTATATCGGATGCTGGAGGCCATTTTGTATTAACTTTTCACCGCAAATTTAGCCATTTGCTTTTTAAAGTAATTTCTTTTGAAAGACGTGAGTACTTTAAAGTTACAGTTAGTACTTTAAAGGTACAGCCTCACTGACCCAAAAATGGGAGAAACCGTTAATGCGGATAGCACCAGGACGTAGTCCGAAACGCGGCCCCATTTCGTATTGGAGAAATAATCTTATGATCCCATATGAATTCGTTACGTTTAAAATTAGGTTTTGAATAAATAAAAATAAATAAGCGTCATTGAACTCAATACAACAACACGTACAATGAACTGCACACATACCAAACCGCAAATTGTTCTAAACGTGAACAACAATGTCTGTGACATTTATTTCAGAAAATGTTACACCATTTTAGTGGTAAAGACCAGACGGGGATTAACCGAATAAAATTTTTTTAGTTGTTTTATATAGACGAATAAGTTGAACGACCTTACATTGCTTTGAAATAATTTAACACGACATAATTTACTACTTGTGTTTGACGCGCCATTAAAGTGGGAACATTTATCTTAATGTCAAGATATACTAACTAATAATAATGATGCAATGAGTCATTTCTGGCAAATGCAATTTTCTATTTCATTTCAACATTGAGAGTTTCCGAAAATAGATCGTTCCTAAATATGAATATTATTTCTTATTACAAATATCAAACTAAATTAGAGTTATCACTCGGGTTGTTCTAGTTTTAATTTTATTACAACATAATACACTTCTGAGATGTGACAAAATATAATATTTTGAAACTGAACGATATTTGGGTAATCAAACATATATAGAACAATGCCAAAAATTTACTCAAAACTAATAAACTATAAATGATTACAAACAATATTTCCAAATCCGACCCAAACCTGTTAACTTGTTTCGAACATAAATCGAATATTATGTAAGAGTAAAAGTAAACGGCCTTGAAAATTACTAATGAGATTACTATAATATTTATTTTATTTGCTACAAACTTTCTCTATTACATTTTTAAAAAGATTGAATACTTGTGTAATAAATTGTGACAATAAATAATAAGTTAATGACAAGAAGTAGATCAACGTTACTTTAAGATTCTGTATAACTTTCTGTGGTTTGTTATGAATATGAAATGCTAAATACAAAATTTTGTTTGTCTTTTTTATTCAACTAACTCTCTGATCGATTTAAATCATCTACACAAATAAATAAAATTGGAGTGTCTGTTTGTAATATTAAATTAACCGCTTTTTACTAAATGCATATGTATACACGGTACATATACCAAAATGATTTTTTTTACAATTTTTGTCTGCCTGTCTGTCTGTTTGTTCCGGCTAATTTCTGAATCGGCTGGACCGATTGGGACGGGACTTTCACTGGCAGATAGCTGATGTAATAAGGAGTAACTTAGCCTACTTTTATTTTAGATTTTTTTTATTTTAAATTCCACGCGGACGAAGTCGCGGGCATAGCTAGTCACCAATAAAATACATGCATGTGTCGTATTTTTTTTTTGTTCTGGCTTGGTGAACATAGAATTACGGTGCATTATAAATTATTTCAGTGTTTTCTTTAAAGATTATGCTAATATCGTCTTTATCTTCGTCCGTTATAATATCCGTGCTTGTTATAATGACCATGTAAGATACGTCGTGATTAAATTTTCCTTTGCTAATAATTACAATTTTCTTTTGATTAAGAAAACTTTGGAATAAGAACATGGCATAAGTACTAATTTTATGTTTCAATTTAAAACTCAGCTTTGGCACTCCATTGATGCACGCGTAGCTTTTCTAATCAGGTCAAGGAATGATCGTTGGATGATTTATTCGTGTTCCAGAATAATTTATTTACAACTACAGATACAGCTGGTCTCCATTATTCATATTTTTATTCATAGAGAAAGATGTACTCTAGAAGTATCATTTCTTGAATGTGTAAAACATTTCCTGTATGTATAATTTCTAACTCATAGTTGTTAATGATTGATTGACATATCAAAGTAGGGTAGTGATTACAATTATTGAATGGCCATATTTTTGTAATTCCTCTTGTCTTCTTTTGCATGTTTTTAATGTAAAATTAAATATTTGTACACCAGAAATGGTAGAACATAAGAGATCCACAGCTTTTAAGACCTATATTTTACCGTGTTCTTACAAATAAACGTATCTTTCTTTCTTTCTAATTTAAATTGTTTAAAAAAAACTGTGCAACAGCCAGACGTTTATAATACATTTTTTCATCATATGAGCTGTTAAAAAAAAAGAAATTATGTTGAATTAACTTATAATAAACATATTGCATGCGAAAAAATATATGATCTGAAACGCAATCAAAATTGTTTTCATTCTATAATACGTTTTATAAAGCAAAATCAGTAATTTAAGATGTCCCCTTTCCTCGTCTCAGTCGACGATAAGAAAAATACTTGCAATCTAATAAATCCGACTTTATATATATTTACATTCTAATAAAACCAAATTGATATATTTTTGAATAAAGCTGCCTACTTAAAAATATTATGATTTATAAAGTTTATAACGCTACCGTGCTTCGGTACCATTTTTATTTCCAGTGTATAAAATATGTTAGACGAGCTATTTGGAAAGTTGGCGCATTTTATAAGGACTTTAATCGAATTATTTTTAAAAAGATTTTTCAATATGTAGTCAAGCACAAGTTACAAGTTAAAATAATAGAAACTATCATTAATTATTCCTTTGGATTAGCCAAAGCATGACGATTATTTTGGGTATACATTAGTGAACAATGGGATAAAGACGATAACTTCTTAGTTACCACATATTGGAAAACCTGTACATATGTAGTATCACATATTTATATTTTTAAGTACTTTTATAATTCCCTTGCAGACTATTCACGTAGTTTCAAATGTATAGTTTGGAAAATCAGTGAATTAAACTAACAATTTTGTTCGTAGATCTTTTATTGCAGTAATTTGAATATTTACAAATTAAACAAACTCAAAATTCCTTGAGTTTGGCAGAGTATATATCACTTATTTTAAAATTCGTATAGAAAAATATTTTAACGCATATTTATGAGAGTAAAAAGTTGCATAGATTAATAACGGCTAATAAATCATATATTATAATATTCACTTAAAAACACAAAATGAATAATCAAAATTAAAAAAAAAATACTGACTTTCCGAATCATCGGCATTGGTCTCATGCACCCAACAATATAACTTGACTAAGAAGCGGCCTTTAAGATCGTGACAAACGAATGTTATATCCGCCAAAAACTGTTTGGCGGCTGCCAAAAATTGCGCCAAAACATGTTTTTATTCATCATATTCTTGTCTATGGTTACTTAAATTGTCCGCTTCTTCTTTTCTTAGATTAACGTAATTACATGTGGCGAGTGTTGCCAAAAGAACCGAGACCGGCTTGTGACGCGCCTTTATTGTAGCCCATTTGTAGGTTAAGTTCGGCGTTGTGCGCTCTCAGCTGTTCCTCAGTGAATGTGCGCTCGTTCTTGTCCGCCATCTTGGGTCCAAGCTGCGGCCCGGTCCATTCCGGATGCTTCTGTGTCTTTTTGAAAAAAAAAAACGATGAAGGTTTTAATACATAAACTATTACCTTAACAAAGTACTCTCGAAATGACGAATAATAACATTAAATAACAGTTGTTAACATAGTTATGTTAATTCAGTACTTACAATTCTTCCTAACGCGTAAAGACATAATGTTACTTGGGGAATGTTGCGCCTCTCGAAAAGATCGGCTGTCTGGAAAATTTCCTCCTCCGGCACTCCATACTTCTTAATGGCGGCCTGGAATCTGAAGGGTTTAAAAATAAGAACTTGATCGTAAAGTTACAAGCGTGTGATTTCGTTCAATTGCGATAGCTGGTTGTAAATACTATTACACCTTTGGATGTTTTCCATTAGCTGGAAGTTGGTACCCTTCTCTTGGATCTTTTTCACGGATCCCGGCGACAGTTTGTTGATGAGCTTGCAAAGCACCACGCCGTTCTTCAGGATGTCCTCATAATCGCCGTTGGGCAGGGGCTCGCCCAACACTTGGCTGATCCAAGTGAGGACTTCCTGCTCCTGTTCCTTGTTCCTGGCCTGCGGACACGGTATTTTAGTCAGTGATCGCATACGAGTTGAACGTGCGCCATAAAACATGCGTTCCAGTGCCAAGTGGTTGCTTTTTAATGGCGAAGCGGTCATACTCCAGTATCATCTCCGAAAATAACGCAAACGCAGCAGTGATATCTCGACGAGATTCCACTGGAACGCTTGGGAACGGTCACGAACGCAGCTGCGCCGACGCATATATCTTCCGCCGAAGCTTAAGGCGAAATCAGTTTAAATGCTCCCAAAATATAATAAGTAACGCAATCGAGAACTAAACATTGTAACTCATATATGTATATATTTATATATATATATATATATATATATATTTATATGTGATATGTTTTAAATTTAATAGATACTATTAGATAGAATAAAATATTAGTTAGAATAACGGAAAAGTTAGTTTCATTATCAATTACATTATATTTACGCTTATCAAGTTGTGACAAGTTTAAAGTAATTTTAATTTATAGTTTCAAAAGCGGGAATTAAAATCTTGATTCAAAAGTGGGAATTAAATTATTAACAGTGTTTTAAGTTAGCTTAAGTGTAGTTCAAAAATATTTATATGTGAATAACGTACGGGCATTGTGGACGAATATCCGAAGTGTTAAATCTCACGAATAGACCGGTTCCCGCTTCGATATCGCTAAGAAGACTGCCGTAGCTCCCGCCCGCCCAAGCAAGCGGCATCGGCGGAGGCGGATGACGTCATCATCTACTTCACTCATGTCCCTAGTGTAAATACGAAATCATAGTATAGACCCACGTCAACTGGTCAAAGCGTGACGTGATCTATAAAACGACCAAAATGATTTATTTATATGTGATATGTAATTTTGTGCATAGTAATTAGTTAGTGTTATAGTATATATAATAATTAGGTAAAGAATACCCACATTTATTTCTGTATCTCTCTTCATGATTTAAATTTTATAGATATCATTAACTTACATAACAAACTCGTCAAAAATATTTAAAAACTCATTATTGCACATTATTAGGCTCGAAAACGTGCGACGTTAATGCTAGAGTCGACTCTAACCAAATTAATGTTAAATTCTTAAAAGCCTTAAAATAAATATCTGCCATTTGTAGGTCGTACTAAAAAAAAAACAATTGTATACATAACTTCATAGTTACATAATAAGAATATAGAAAAGACACAAATTTATTTAGATTATGTAAAAGCTCAAATATGAGTAGATATATAATATTACTTATAATGAAATTAATAACTTCCTTTCTTAAAATAAATAGAAAGAATAGGTTACTTACGCAGCCTATCATATTTACTAATTAAAAGAGCGTTTTGCATTTAAAAAAAAGGATGATCGCGATAATATTTCGTACAATACGGATAAATTTAGGAATATTCCTAGGTCAGCTTACTTGAAAAAATAAAACGTGTAACAAAATGTTTACGAATGTAACCAAAACTTTTAAATTGTTTTAGTAATAAGCAATGGCAGTGTCTTAACCGCCTTAAACCGTACGTAGTTTATCTTCACCGTTATACACATACTACATACATGTCACCTGTACTTTATGTTGCGAATAATTTAAAAAAATCAATACAAATGCTAAATTAGACAGCCAGAGCAGTGACTCATGCGACTATATACTACTGATCGCAATTACTATTATGACACTCGTAATGACTTGATTAATGTGTAATTTAATGCCAAGGTTCCTTCTGCACCATCAAATTAACGAGCAATGACTTCAAGCCATAGCTGTGGGATTTGGCGCGATAATGTTGTCAATCATCACATCTTGGCTGTTGCAGACTAGAGACGAGGTGTCGCACATTGCGGCCATAAACTTCCTGGTCGCTAAAAATAGTTAATTATACTGATGTAGAGACGAGCGGATAGATTAATAAGAAATATTAGTTTTAAAAGTCAATTGTAGATGCTAAAGATTGACCTGAACCAAAAATTTCACCGCCATCGATCCACAGCGAACCTCACAAGTAACATTATTTAGTTTACATTCGAAGATTATTTTTATAAGCGTTTTTTTATCTCCGATTCTTGTTATTGCAGTGCGCAAAGATTTTATCACCGCTATTTTTACGTTGAGCGCCTTCCGATTCTGCGTTTGTTGATGCTGTTTCCGGCCGTAACGACGACGCAAACGGCTTCTGGCCAAGGGATTACGTTTATTACAGAGCAGACGAAATAAAACATACTGCTTTGTAGTTCGGGATACGTGAACTTGCACCACGATTTATAAAGTGGAAAACCGTCATGGTATAGATTTGAACCAAATATGGTATTAACGTACTTTTTAACCATGAATAAAAACCCAAAAAGGGCCTTAAATTACTGTCATCCATTGTCGATCAAGACATATTTCCCTTAAGTTTTGTATAGGTACCTTACGTGTAACACCAATACCCAAAATTGTGTGGTGTTTTGTGTAATGAATACCACGTTTTGGCGGACTGTGACCGAATCAAAGTTGAGAGGAGATTTACGTCTGAAATCAATACAGATTTACTTGAAAGTAAGTGTGCGCACCCTCTATCAGAGATAACAAAGGCTATGCCCGAATTGGTGAAATTTGGTATAAATCATAATATATTGTAAGTTTTTGTAAACATTTTATGCGAATGTATGCGTGGCATACTCATGTTAAATGAAAGCCTTTTTTTTAAATAAGATATAAAATATATATATACAAAAGTTGTTTGCCAGTTTTGTTATTCCATCGCAATACGAAACCCTAAAAGAAAGAGAAGAAAAATTAAATTCACTATTCGGAAGCAGCTTCTTCAAAACAAGGATAAACGATAACTTTCGTGAGTAATTTAAGTGATATAAACAACATAAAGTATGAGAATATATTCATTTTTAAGTACCTTTGGTAGTCACTTTACATAAATAAAAACAATTTATGTTGTAAAATAACACGGAAATATGTGGTTGTATGATAACCACATAATTCTTATTGTTATTGTAATACTGCTGCAAATCGGAATATTTTGAGTTCTTCAACAAGAGATGATCGCTTTAAAAAAACTACACCTATTTTCATGAAATGAATAGATATAATTAGGTAAGTGACAATGAATAGTTTCATAAAAAAACGAGTTATTTTGCACAGATTAAAAAGATTAAAGTCACTTGTTAGTTATTAAGTAAATTGTTACATACAGGTAGTTATTAGAAACATAAATCATTAGAATGATTCTTATGTAAATTTAACTTGATCTTTTGTTCCTATCAAGCCTTATATAATTATGTCAAGCAGCTACCAACATCCAAAACATCCAACAACAACACTTATTATCTCTACCTTCGTAAACTAGAGATGAGAAGAAAGTTTTAAATGTTTCCTATGAGAGATTCCTCAGTCACAGAAACCGCGAAAACAAGTTAACACACTAATTAAAGTTCTGTTTATATAGAATAAGTATAAGTACAATAAAATCAGTATGTCCGAATGAACTATCAAAATAATAATTATGAAGAATCCCTTCGCAATCATCATTTTTGCAGATAGCAATCTTATAGATTATTGAAACTAATGGTAAGCATTTGTAGTTTTAAACTTGAATTAAATCATTAATACACATTTAAGTTTGCCCTAAAGTTTTATGAACTTAAGACGAAAATATTTAAAGCAAAAATGTCTCGTCACTATACTGGACGTAGTTAAACACAATAACAATTTAAGCAATTATCTAATACTTATTCCTTTAGGCTTTTTTATTTAAACAAAACGAGACTTATAATTGCTCTTACATAAGTCATAGGACAAGCTATTATATACAGCCAATCAATTGGTTTAAAAAACAACAAGCTTGTTAACAAGCACAATAATTATGAAGCTTCGGCGCTTGCGGTAATCAATTTTAATTTATTGTCAGCATCCTTCGTCAGCACACGTCTTTTTGTCCGTTATACTTGAAAATAACACCGTTTAAATGTTTTTGTAAATAGTAAACATGAAATTTAAACACGTCCCATGATGTAACACGTTTTCAACGAACATACACGTATTGTATAATTACAATCTTGATTGGCACTAGGCCAAACTGAAAACGGAACCCAACGGTTGCGCCACGTGTCGGAAAATACCCGGCTATATAATTTTTATATCGGTTGTCTAATTTAAAGGCAGCATTTCTTCACGATCAGCATATTTTAATTAATTATGTTGTAAGAGATTGTCAAATGGTCTATGGTTCATGTTTGTGGTCTATGGTTCCGATAAACTATCTACCGCCATCTATATGAAGATGGAACTCTATCAGGTAAATCGATTGTTTGTTAGCACTCAAGTAGCGCGAAAACTCTGCTGGATCAATCTAACTGCAACGGACGTATTTCTTGTTCGTAACATTTTTTAAGTTTTTATTCAAATTTTCCTTACAATATTTATAACTAACTGTAGCTGAGCCGGCAAACGTTGTTTTGTCATATAAATAATTTGTAGGGTAAAAAAAAGTTTGGGATGGACCATCTTTATAGCCACCACCCACGTAATAGGGGTATAAAATTCTGTTATAAACCTATTCTCATACTTACTAAATAGACATATAAAATTTCATCAAAATCAGTCAATCCGTTTCGTAGGAGACTAAACAGTAAGCACACAAGAATTTCATATATAAGATATTATTATTATGATGATATATTATCTGTTTCGAATTGTCTGCAGTAAATATTTCATATGATTGGAGTGTTGTGTTACCCTGTTATTATTTATAAAATGCAAATTAAATAAAACCGTTTAAAAACTTTTAAGTTAAACGGTTTTATTTTATGTGCACTGAAAACTACAATATTGTATTGTCATCTAAATTAAATGTGTGTAACAAATTTCAGATCAATCTGACAACGGAAAGGTGCTTAAATTTCAATTTCTAATTTTGACCCAAATAAATAAATAAGCAAATTCCGTACGGGTCGAGCTAAATAAAACCGTTTAAAAATATGCTACATGCTATTTATTAGTAAAATAAATGTAGATGTTTTCCAAGTTAAAATGATACGATAAGCGTTAGGAATAATAGCGTGTAGAAGTAGAAAAAAAACTTACTTCATGTCAATTTTTAGGCATAATAATTAAAGGACCATAAACGTTAAAGAAATTCTTAACGTTGATGCGCTGGGAAGATTATTGACTTTGACCTCACGATGCGTTCGCTGATTGCTTACCTTACTTGGATATCATTACGACCAACAAGACTATTACCGCTATTCAAACCCAAGGACAAGGGTATGAATTAACATTACATACCAATGTATTATCTTCATAAAAATGTCGGCGTCGAAAACAGAGTCGTAATTTTTTAATCTACCATTACCCATTACGTGCTCAATTATTGTTAATCATGTCTTAAACAAAAAACGTCAATTGTTTTAAAACGTGCATAGCGCCTGATAGTCGGATCAGTGTCTTTAATGTTTTTTAAATGTAATCAACATATTCTTTCATTTACTGATCAACGCTTTCTTTTAAAAGTCGAGTGATAAGCTAATGATATTAAAAGTAATTTAATTTTAGTGCTAGTGATCCAAACCTGCTTTTTGCGGGTAACGAGTCCAGCCAATTAATCCAAACTAACACCGCTTCATTAGTCTTCGATAGTATTGAAAATCCCGAATTAGGCATTCGCGGGCAACTTAAAGTTATAATATACGCAGTTCCATGAATAATAAGCTATTTTTCTCTTCACTGCTTTACACATATGATATACTTATATGATGTAAATTTTTATTAGTCGTTATTGTGTTATTGTCCTTGAATTAATGTACGCGCTTTGTGTTAATCTGAGTGTAGTTTGTTATTTATAATTTTAATTTTTGGTATGTACTGAAAATCGGTAAATCGTACGGAGTACATATCTATTTGGTTTCATGTCTTAGATATATATTCTTTTAATTGTTAACATAACTGTGTTTGTTGAAACTAAATAAATATCCATTCATTCATTCATTCATTCATAATTCAACATAATTTAGTTCACCTGACCGAGGTGGACCCACCTAACATTATGACCCCAGGAAAGTAAAAGAAAGAGTCAAGGGAATAAAATCAGGACCATGTCAGAACTATATTATTTATTTGAATGCCGTCTTGTACTCGTATTTTCATTCTTCTCTATGTTTCCTCTTTCCTGGATCTCTGGAAGAAACCATAATTATCGCTATCCCAAAACCGAATAAGCTACGACAACCTATCGCCCGATTAGCTTCGTCAACACGAGCGTCTAGTTCGCTAGAAGTTGAAAGACTTTCTACTCCGACAGCCTCTCATTGAATAATTCGAATTTCGTCCGCAACATTCTTGTCGCGAATAAATCCACCGCGCTACTGACCATATCTTAACAAGCCTTGGCTAGTATTTTTATATTGACAAGGTGGCAATCAAGCTGGCGCTTCACCTGATGTTAAGTGATAACCGCCGCCCATGGACATTAGCAAGCCCCAAGGGTAGCAGACGCGTTGCCACCTTTTAATAAAGTGTGGCTCCGGTTATCTCATTCACCAGACGAAACGCAAAAGCATAATACTTCTACTTCACGCCGGTCTTCTGTGAGGTCGTTGTACTTACCCGGACGGACCTGCCTATTCTTGCAACAGGAAGAAGACTGTTCCGTGGCCGTACCACAGTAAAACTCCCGCCTTTTAGGCGCTATTTTCCGATATCATAAGAGGGTTAGACAAAATGTGGGATGACTCTGTCGAATGTTTTGCGGGTGATATTGCACTATTCTTAATATAAAAGGTTCCAGTTATATACCCTTCAAGTGCAAGTAGAATTGCGCAAAGCAACTCTGACTAGCTTCGCGAATGGAGAATAAAATGGAGTGGAATTCAATTTCTTCCATGGCAATAAACGATTATTACATAATAATTTTCAGGAGGCGACCGTAGACATATTTCCATGAGCAACACCTGTACACTCGCCCGAGTTAGCCAGAACATAAAATTAGGGCAAATAACTTTTTTCGACAAAACCGATCTCATGGATAAAGGCGATCAAATATCCGGGGGCTACGTTGGACACCGACATGCCATTTCGCCATTTTTAATAACCATTAGGCGAACTTTACCATTTTAGCAACTTTTCTAGCAAAATTATCTTACGGCTGCACATACAAACCCAGAATACATAGGCCCACGCAGCAGTTCCTGCGGTAGTTCTAACGGGCAGGCTCAACCGGGGAGGTACCACGACTTCACAGAAGACTGGTGTGATGTGAAAGTGCTTTCTTGTGTAGTCTGGTGAGTAAAGTAACCGGGGCCCATTTTTTTAATGGTTGGTAAAACATCTGCAAACCTTCAGGTGTTGCAGATGTTCATGGGCGCGGTGATCACTTAACAACAGGTGAACCAGTTCCTCGCTTGCCAACTTTTCACATAAAAAAATAACTACTAATGCAGGTGGTGCAGAAATAATTTATCCGCACTACAACGGTGCAAGATATCAAAAAGCTTCGACCTGCTCAGCGATTGCAGGCTGCGGGTGTTACGCGATCACTTTAGCGAAATATTTGAACGGTTTTAGATAATTAATGATGGTTAAATGTTTCTTAGAGAGACACGAAAATCATTTAAATCCTCTGCCAGAGTATTGGGATGATTTTGGATGATGACAAAGGATCTACGACGGTAATTTGCCAACCTTGCCTGCGTAATTTCCTCATTGGCCCGATCGAGGGTTGGGACGAAAGTATTCCGAAACTACCTGGGTTTTCGCTTGATAGTTGGATCATACACACGTAGCGATAACTTACAACACATTGCAGTTCGTCCGCACCTATGAGCTGGGCGGAACCAATGCATCGCGTTCACAAAGTACACCCGGGGCGGTTCTCAAGCCGACCAGTCAACGAAATGTTCCTTTGACAAAGCCCTCAGTTTCCTCTCAATTATTTGTGCATGTATCCGAGTATGTACATCGGTCTGAGGGTATATCGAGTAAGGCTCGTGGAAACCTAGCCTTTTTATGCAGCAGGGATACGTTTTTTTTATGTAAAAAGATGGCAAGCGCGCTGGCGGTTCACCTGATTTTAAGTGATAACTGCCGCCCATTTGCAACACCCGTAGGGTTGCTTGCAGTTGCGTTGCCACCTTTTACTTTTAATAAAGTGGGCCCCGGCTACCTCACTCACCAGACGAAACGCAGAACGCTCACGCCGATCTTCTGTAAGGTCGTGGTACTTCTCCGGATGAACCTGCCCATATGTGCAACTGTTGCGTGGCCCTACCACAGCTAGTATGCTGAATATGCCCAAATACCTCTAAAGAAAGGAGCACTATGTCCAGAAGTAGGACATATAAAGGCTATTATGCAATTACTGAACAACTCAATCAATAACGGTCATTTAATGACATAGGATTCTGTCATTTATTTGAAATTCATGATACTTATTTGTGTAATATTGCTAAGTGTAATCCTCAAAAACAGAAATTTTATTTAAAGATATGAAGTAAAAGAAGAAAATATGAAGTAAACTATAGTAAACGACAGAATTGCTTTACTTATATACCACTGAAATACATTAATAGACAGGGGTGCACACAAACATATGTACAAAAAATTTTATTAACAAATAAAAATTAAATAATACCTCACAAAAAGTATTTCATTATGACATTTCGTTGTTGTCACCAATTCGGTTAATATCGGTATGTCATTTTTTAATAAACTCGTTTGAGGTTCTATTTTTTTTTTCTAATTTAATTTTTATGAAAAAAACGGTTGTGTCCAATAACAAATTAAATCCCCAATCTAAGATACAACTATATTATAACAGTTAAGAATACTCACTGATAAGCTCCAAGTTACACTGATCCTTTCTTGAGACACCTTAAATCACAGTAGCAAAGAGAAATGCTTAGGCACATAAAAGAATAAAAATACTAGTATTAATGGATGTGTGTTATAGATTAAATACAAACACAAAAGTCCAAACAAAATCATTATTTTATTGCAAGTGCTTGGAGTATCAGAGCTAAACGCTACCAAACAGCACAGTGAGGAACTTATAAAATGAAAATAATCTATCCTTCAGCCTGATGCCGTCCTCGCTGACACGTAAATGCATGTGAATTTATTATTTAACACAATGGTTCACTCGATACAAATTGAAACCTGTCATACCTTTTTTATTGTACACAATAAAACTGTCATACAATATGACTATTTACTATATAGTGAGTGTATTATATTGCTAATAAAGCATACATTTTTTTTAAGTTGTGAAATGTTTATTTGACACACGATTCACATATAAATATTTATTTGTAAATCTTGTGGATTTAAACAAAACCTTCATACGACATGAATCATGCATATTTCAATGTGAATGTTTGGAGTTGAACAATCGTGAATTGTATATAGATGAAATGCTCGAAGGAAAAAAAACGATAGAAATAAACAAATTTAAATTTAGCTGTGATAACTGTGGTAACTGGTTGGCCACACAACAGTATTCACTGTTCAACGAATGGATCGGTCCGTCCGGGGAAGTACCTCACAAAAGGCCGGCGTAAAGTGCACGTGTTACAATTCTGCTTTTCGTCTGGTGAGTGAGGTAGTCGGGGCCCGCTTTATTAAAAGGTGGAAAGTCATCTGCAACCCTGCGGGTGTGAGAAACAAAGGGTCTTACATTTATTTCTATAAGAATATTGAAAAAAAAACAACCTCATGGAATGAGCAATATTTTCATTTTGGTTTATACATACTCTAAGCCAAAATGTTTTTATAGGGTTTTTTTTTCGTAACTCGACGAAAGAATGCTTATGAACACGGCAAGGACGGAAAACTGTGATAATGCTTGTTTATTTAGTTTCGATTGTCATAATAATGGTCTCTGATATTGAACAAACTATGTACTTATGTTGAAAATGAATTTGGTAAAACTGTCAACTTTGCTTAAATAGTACCAACTGCTCGGCATTAACCATTTAGTTCCATAGAGTTGGATAGCTCAATGTCCGAACGCTCGCTTTTACCTCAATATACCGGAGTAACCTGAGTTCGTTCGAGTTAACTTATCACTGGCCCAGCGGTGAAAAACATCGTGCGGAATCAAAAATATTTCGAATATATAAGAAGTCCGCCAATCCGCAGTTGGGTCGCGTGGTGGACAATGCCCTAATACCACTGTGCCCAGCACTGTGACATAATATACAGGCTGTACACTTTACTTCCATGAATATAATTTACGTTATAACTATGCCCTTTTTATTTCCTTATAGTGTGCTGGAAAGCGTGAGCCGGAAAAAGAATTAGAGGCGCAGAGATGGATTGAGGCGGTAATCGGGGAGAGGTTTCCGGCGGACCTCCCTTACGAATTGGCTCTTCGTGATGGCATTATCCTCTGCAAGCTGATGAACAGACTTCAGCCCGGTATCATAACTAAGGTCAATGTCTCGGGCGGCGACTACAAGTTCATGGATAACATTAACCAGTAAGTTGGTTTGAAAATATTAAATTGTAATTTTGTTTTGACCGCGAGCGGTGGATACTATCTGCAGAGTAATTATATAATTATTAATATAGAAAACCATGGACTAAAAAAGTAACAGGCCTCCGTGCAACGCATATCGAATGTGAAACATAGTAAGTAAGCCGTTTACACATTTACATCGTAGGCAGCCGACCACCCGCCATGATGTGAAAGAACAGCTTTTATGTAGATACTGTTTATAAACACTGTTTAGGTACTTCAAGTAATAAAAATCTAATAATGCCATCTTGTGTTGCGAAATGATGTAAAAACAACACAACAATATTTTTGACATTTTAGAATTATTACTATCGCGACACAAAATCTTAACAAATGTTTATGAATAACGAAACAATAATAATTCTGTCATTTCAATTAAATAATGTAAGTGAAGTTTTGGTTCTGCATTATTAAAGTAGTAAATGAATAAACTAGAAAAATATTTTAAAAACATGGGGGAAAATGGGGAAACATAGATCGTACAATGCTTCACTTTTGATATGAACAGAACAGAGGCCTGTTATTTTTCGAGTCCGCAATAAAAACAAATAGGGAACTAACTCTACTAAAATGATTTTATCACTTTTTGGATATATCTATTTACTCGTAAAATTTTAATTTTTAATACTTGTATGTCAAATAAGCTATGCGATTATGTGCGTATGCGTTTATATACCATATTATTATTAGCTTTATAATTAAATATCGCATTTCTGCTGGAACGTACCTGTTTATCAAGCTCCATTAAATTAGTGCAGCAGATGTACACCCCGTTTTGTTAAAAGACAGGGGGCACGTTTTGAAATCCTTATTTATTTAAACTTTCAGGTTCCAAAAAGCGTGCGTCAAGTACGGCGTGCCGGACGTCGATTTGTTCCAAACAACCGACCTGTGGGATCAGAAGAACATAGCCCTCGTCACCCAAACAATCTTCGCGATTGGCAGAACGGTAAGGGTCGAGCGTGCTGGAAGGCACGTGCCAAATCGGTCAACTTTGCGAACAATGAAATGTGCCCAATACAAAAGACTCTATAAATGCATATCAGTGATGTGTGCATCCATTGTATTCTTTACACGACTAGTACTTTTGTAGTGACTTTAGTTGCATTATTTATTTTTTTATTTAAACTTCGTATATAAAAGGGCATTTACTTTCGCCATTAGTTGTAAGGATATTATAATCCTATAATAACTCATTACGAAGAATTAGTTATTATAGGAATGAAACGGATGTTGCTAAGCTATTGGCTTCGTCGCCGGAGGTTGTGGGTTAGATGATAATCTAAACCACAAACTAAGAATGTGAGAACACGAGACAAGAATTTGTGTTATCCATGGATAATTGCTCTGGATCTAGGTATATAATTCTCAATTAGGATTACTGTAAGCGACCGCTAAATAACTAGCCAATGCCATTAACAACATGATTGACATGTTGTTCCGACCCCAAATTAGGTAGGATAAGGGCAGGAGAAATATGAAGGAAAGGAAGACTTGTGATGTTTTATTAGGACAGGCCTAGAAATAAGATCGGCTAATATTCCGAATAGTACGTCTCGTTTTTCAAGCTAGAAAAAAAATTTTAATCTATAGAGAAATGTTAATAACTAAATATTATATAAGTTATAATCAATGAAAACCACTAGATTATGAGGAAAAAATTAACAAAGTTATTAAATTTCATACAACTGAAATCCGTCATTACTGTGCGTCCATTATTCATTTATAGACTATTATTTTAAGTTAAAAACTTACGTTTTCACTTTTTACGTTGTAAGAAGACACAAATACACAGATATATCACAAAAACACAAGTTTCTACTTCATGAACATGTATTATTAACAATTTCTAAAATTTAAAATTTGTCACCTAGTGTACACTTAATGTCTCGAATATTAGGTTCAAAATGTGTCACAGATCCGACACAGAGCGATCCGACTCGGATAGGTTAGGTTAGAAGGTTAGCCTTCGTTGTTAGGTTCTTTTTTTATGACCACCCAGAAAACTTTAATGTAACAGTACTTTTAGTATTTTTAAAGACTCTTTTTTAATAATGCGAAGGTTATAATTTGGAAAAGTGTGTGAATTCGTAAATTTATACATGTTGTCAAACACAAAATGACGGATTTATTTAGTGAAAAATAACAAGTTTTAAATAATTTTTTTTATTAAAAGTAAGTGTTTGCCTTGGTTTTCATGTATGTAATATTTAATTATTAACATTTCTCTATCGATTAAAATTTTTTTCTAGCTTGAAAAACGAGACGTACTGTTCGGATTTTTTACCGGAACAAGTACCTCCGGGTCAAACAAATGCTTGTCCTGTATGGGAATCAATTTCCATGGGTCCAGACCCACAATCCTAGGCGTTAAAGCCAATAAGTCAACAAGTGCGTCAACCGAGGCATGAAATAGCCATCGCCTTAATACTATCATCAATGTCGCAAGAACAGATTATATAATTCTTTGACACATTTGAAACCATCGACAGTTGTGAAATGTAGGTGTAAAGGTAATATTTGCTGATAGCCAGTGACATTATCCAATTAATTGTCAGGCGTACAAACACCCTGAATGGCGCGGCCCCCACCTCGGACCTCGGCCCGCTGAAGAGAACCGTCGGGAGTTCAGCGAAGACGTTCTCCGTGCTGGTGAGACTGTCATAGGTCTCCAAGCGGGCACCAACAAAATGGCCAGCCAGTCCGGCCAGAACTTCGGTGCATCTCGAAAAATTATACTGGGCAAGTGAACGCTGCCAAAATTGTTAAAATCATTATAAAATTGTGTATTGAAAAATTAATAGATTGTTATACTCAATATAAAACGTTCGGTTGTCAAAATGTGGTACAATATGCAGCTTCAATGTTATTTTTGTTTTTTTAAGATTTAAGAACACGTCAATTTGGAGTAAATTAAAAAATAATTTTGTTTCTTTACTACTAAGGTAATACGAGCTTTGAAAAATTGAAGATTTACTTTCAAATGTAATAATTATGTTTATTTTACTTACTTATTAATATACCGTTTTCAATATTTATTTCTTAGTATATTGCTAATATTTTATGTACTCAAAACTATTTTAGCTGTGATTTCTTTTGTAACTTTATTATATAATATTATTAGTTTGTTTAAGTTCTCCATGCAAAACTTATCTTTGAATAAATGATTTAAAATAATGGTGTCGTATTGTTATTCTGGTATTATATTTTCCCATGGAACAATGATGGTTGATAAACAAACCCATGGCCGGGGCTTAAAAACATTTTTTTTTTGTAAGTACTCATTTCAACAGTATTAATTAAATGAATAAATAATTTCATAAGTTAAGAAAGAAGTAAGAATTAGTATAACATTAAAGAATATTATTTTTAAATTTACTGATTAGAAAAGTCCACTCCAAGAACGTAAACTTATTTTTATAAGTTTTTGTTATATGAGTATGTATTTTTGTACTATATTAATTCAACTGTATAGTATTTACGTTATTAATAATTAATAAATAAACGGAGTTAAAATAATTATGTATAAAAATATGATAGATAAAATGACAACTGTAACTTGTTAGGTAGATGCGTCGAATGTTGGCATGTGAAATTATTATGTGATACAGACTTGGCAATAATCAAGTTCACAAATACTTGGTTGCAATGTGCAACCAATAACAAGTTATTGAATTTAGATACCTATAATTCCAAGAAACCCTTATCATTTGCATTTAATGTTTTTTTACTAAATTTCACATTTACAGGGGATAAAATTTTTAGTTATTTTTCTTTTGTTACGTTAAAGAAGTATAATTTCTGTCTTCTTTCGTGCGAATAAGTACACACACAACAGGTTTTTTTTGATGAAGTGCATCCAACCTGTTTTGAAAGTGAGACAGAAAGTCACTCCCGAATAATAGTGATGGAGAATTCAAAGACAATGCATTTGAATTTTATTCACCCTAAACTATAACATTTCATACGTGCTTACATAAGTAGGTACACACACATTTTTTAAAATATTTCTTCTGCCTTTGATTTATGAGTACTTATATTTATACATAACGGTGGTAGGTCCACGCAGCATTCTCGGCTGTTGCACGAATGGGTAGGCTCGTCCAGGTATACCATGACCTCACAGAAGACCGGCGTAGAGTGGAAGTATAATACTTCCGCGTTTCGTCTGGTTGTCAACGCATCTACAATCCCTCGTTGTAGCAGATGTCCACGGGCGGCGGTATTCACTTAAATCAGGTGAACTGTATGCTCGTTTGGCAACTTTTCACATAAAAAAAATATATATAAGTGAAACATTAAAAGGCCCATTCACTATCCTGCCTGGCAGTCCGCCGTGCAGGACTGCAAAGCAGGATGTAGCCCACACACTATCCTGCAAGCCGTCCATCATAGTGTCAGTGTTATTGTTGTAATAATTATGGATTTACGTGAAGTATCGAAAAAAAATGATAATAGCGATTCTGCTATGTTTTTTTTGTTGTTCGATAAAAGTTTTTATTAATAAATAAGCTTTACTCACATTATCATACTAATGTACATAAAATTTAAGTAATAATCTAAGCTTTTCTCAAGTTGAACTATTTCAATATAAAAAAGTTTTTTAGCTTAGTTTTAGTTATCACATCAGTCGGGCTTCCCGGGATGCTTTTGTTTAAAATAAAGTACCCAGTCCTGTGTAGATTTTTTTCTAACATGTGAATAAAATTTAATTCCTAAAAATATTTCTAAAAAATTCCCTGTTACATAATTTCTGTTGTAAATGTGTAATGTGTAAATTTACCAAAAAAAAATCCTAATTTAGCATCCGTATTTTCTTATAATATAGCGCAATTTTGCTAAGGGCTTAGTGCATTTCTTTTCTTCATATGGCAACACTGCCGCTATGCAGGACGGCCAAACCACTGACGCTCCTGCGCGGCGGACTGCAAGCGGTGGGCGGAGCTTGCAGGTCCCTTGCAGGATGCAAGGAGTGTTCTGCTCGGTGTTGCCAGAAACTGTGCAGGCCTGCAACACCATTCACGATCTTGCATAGAGCGGCAGACTGCACGGCGGACTGCCAGGCAGGCTAGGGAATGGGCCCCTTAAGAGTAATAATACAGATAATAGATAATAGAGATAAAAATAATTTGAAAGCCACTAATGTTGCAAATTCAGTCAATTCGTTGAAGGGATTATTTCCAGCGGCATCCATGTAGTCCAGAACTTCACATCAAAAATCAATGTTACCACTATAAATATAATGTTTCGCCATTGTGATATATAAGGTTATTCCTTTTACTTCTATATTAAATCTTTGCGCCATTTTAATGGGGGTTTAAAGACTTTCAATGAAATTCCCCTGATCATAGTCTCAGCGATTGCGATCAGAAACATCGCTGCGCATTTGTTTGTGATCGGAAAGGCAAATTTATTTATAAGGCTCTAGCTAATAATGAAAATATAAATATAAAAAAAACTGTTTTATCATATCAAATTAAAAATAATGCCAAAATAATTTAGTAATGCTAAATCACTGAGAATATTGCTATAAAAATGTTACACTGGCAGCCGTACCAGATTAAGTATTAATTTACAACAGCGACATCTATAACAACAGCAATAAACTAAATTTGAATTATGCAACTGTACCGTTTCACATTTTTCAGGCTAGATGGCAATGTGTGCTCAAGGTCTCTAGGGAAGTACAATAATAAAGATGTATTTTACAATTTATTTGACAATTTGGCAAGAAGAGTAGGTTTTGTATTAAAAACACATTTCGGCTCTAAGAGACTATAAATTAAAATAACTTAAGGGAATTAATCTCCCATTACTTATATGAAATACGTGATGAAAAGAATGAGAAAAAACATATGCTGTTAATATATTTATTTGTGTTTTGTAATTTTACGTGTAGTGTGTGGGTACAACACTAACGTTAAATAACAACTCGGTTTAGGTTTTAGTACTTGTTGTAGACCCCAGTTGTTGATCAATATTTATTTGTGGACACTTATTGTAACTCTAAAACTGTACAAATGTGTTTAAAAACGTAAGAAAATGATCACATTTGGCTCTGCTAACACTTCTACCGCACAAGAAGACACAGGTAAAACGTTGTAAACATGATGGAGAGCAGTGCGTTTGGGTTTTTTTATTTTGGTTTTAATACTATCATTATTTTTAGGTGAAGTGAGAAGCATTTGTGAAAGCGTTTGCAGTGATGGGTCTAACGCCACGGTGCAGCCCGGGGGCTCTAACCAGAGACCTCGTATGGACATCGCTTGTGTTTTGGACATTACCCAAACGTTAAACCTAGCACACAGAAGAAGGGCTTTGGAAGAAGTTCGTCTGGCTTCCGAATTAGTCAATGCTAACTTACACCACATTCATGTGAGTTACAACTCAGATCGTGATAATTAATTAATAATTAAGATTTATGATTATCCTTATAAAATTGCATCTTCAAAAATTTTTTACATTTATAAGTTTCGAGTTAAGTTTATGAAAATTTAAACATTTCTTACATTTATACTGTCGTATGCTGTGGTAAACAACCAGTTGTGGTATTCTTTGATAAGTAATTCTCAGAAAGAATCCTAAGTAAAACCACAATGTCTATTAATAATTGTGGTCACCAAGGATTTTAACACCATTTAATTTTCATTATAAAAAATATTAGCAAAAAACTGATAATCTATTAATTATAAGAAGCAGAAAATATTACAGAAAATATACATATACAGAACAACAATTTTATCAAATATATGAGTATGTCATTTAATTGAGCAGTGAATCATAATCAGTATATTATTTAACTAGACTATTCACTCTCACTTCCTACGGATAGACAAATCTAAATTATATAAAATTTACTATATTGCAATGTGGGCACAAAAAAATTTAAACATTAATTAAGCAATTCTATCATTATGAAGAACTTTTAAAGTGTAGTATGGCTATAGTCATTATATCAGGTTTTCAGCCTTTTTTCCTTTTAGATTTTTAACAACAGGCACACAAAACATTTATTTAAATTTGATTCATCTTACATTTTGTTTGCGACTCTAAAAAAGTAAAAAGCAATTATCTTCTTCAGTCATATTACAAAAGCAATTTATGCATAATTTATTAGTTTAGGGATAGGTATATAAATACTTATTCGTCATTGAAAACAAATATGATTAGAAACACCATAACTTCATTTCACGCCCAAATATGTACATATAGGATTTATATTATGTAAATCCTATATGTACATATTTGGGCTTACTATACCTAATATAATACTGCAAACCTTCATTATAAAATTCTATTTATTGCAATTTTTGGAAATAAGGCATATGCTATTTGGCATTATGTTGTTTTGTTACAGTTCGAGAAACTGGACTTCGGAGAAACAAGTGTGCTAGATACATTTTACAATGCTGATGTTGCCCTTGTGGATCTTAGTGTACAGGTGCAACAAAGCTCACTCCTATACCATCTTGGAGTTCGGGAAAGTTTTGATATGAAAGAGAATGTTCTACTTTACAATGATGTTGACCCAGATGCTACATTGAGACTTAAGGTTAGTTTTTCAATGTGTGTTTTAAAACATAACAAACGCACATAATTAAAACACTGGGACCTAAACTTTTCTTGTATTTCTGTGATGACTGATTTACTGAAAAAGGGAAAAAACTGTTTGCTCTATTTAACCTCCATAAAAACAAAAGTTGGTTGCCATTTTTCTGAAATATTTCAAGAAAATAAATAAGATTTTTAATTTATCCCCCTATATTTGAACTAATAATTGTTCTAATTTTTAAATAACAATTGCATAAATAAGATAAATTTTACTTTCTAAAATCATAATATAGTAAAAAAACTAATTTTTCAATCCATCCATAGTTTTGAATGGTGCGCATATCATAGTAGATAAAGTTAGGCCTATAAGAACTTCAATAATAAACTTTAAACAAGTTCATAAGTTTAAAAGTGTATCCACACAGAGATTAGATCTTTTGTTAAACATTTCTTCATATACCTATTTATATTTAAGGGTGAGTTGATGTTTTAGATTGGTTTATTTGTGATGCTTGTGGAACAGAATATAGAATATGAAGTTGTTATTGAGGCCTTGAATAACAATGTCTCAATAGCGATTACTCTCAATTTCTCAATTGCCATGTATGCACTATTGTGCCGTCTATGAGATACACCTGACCTGACACTAACAGGGTTGTCCTATAAGGAATAACAATAAGCTCAAATTATAACTGCAAGAAGAATTTATTTACTTTGAATTTATTTAATTATTATGTTGATAATACACATTTGTGTGCTAAATAAAATATATTTAAAATCGCTTGTGTATATTTTGTTAACTCTTTTATATATATTACAGTCAAAAAGCAAAACTAATGATTAAGTATACAAGAGTTATACATTTTTGTTTGGCCATTTTTGCCCCACTATTTCTCACTTAATAATTGAACAAAATGGAGATATTGTTTTAACTATGGTAGGTCACGCTATGCTGTTGCATGAATGGGCAGTCCCGTGGTTATTTACCATGACTTCACAGAAGACAGGCGGGAAGTGAAACTGTTATACTTCTTCGTTTCGTCTGAAGAGTGAGGTAACCAGGGCCCATCTTATTAAAAGGTGGTATCACATCTGCAACCCTAAGGTGTTGCAAATATCAATGGGATTATCACTTAACATCAGGTGAACAGGGAGCTTCCCATATGAAAAACAGGTGATGTTTCCCGTTAATAAGGAAAATGAAGTAAATTAAAAACTCGCTGCCGAATATGCACATACGATTTTAAACATATTTTATTTAGCACACATAATTCTTATTTTAAATAAGTAAATAAACCTTCTGTGGACGAACTGTTCGGAGTCTTTTTAGCCAATTCAGAGAGTTTAACCATCCTTTTGGCAACTAAAATGAAATTTGAAAAGTCATTTGACAGCTGATTAGTTGACATCTACGATGATCAGTGTTTCAGAAACCGGGCGTGAGTTTTACTATTACGATTTTGTTTATTTCTTCAAATTTCTTCAATATAATAAATATTATTGTCGTCACGGACGCAACGTGGCTTCTATGTTGTTGCAAAACTGGTCAGTTTTTTTGCAGTTTTCGTTTCGTCAACCCTATTTTTATTGAATTAGTGCCACGAGCAGTCACGCGGCCAAGAATTTATATTGATTGCCTGGATTATTTCTAGCGGCCCTCCTTTATCCGATAGATGACCGGAATGGGACCGTACGGTTTATAACATCATAACAATATATCCATTCAGTTTTAGGGTTCCCGCATTGTATGTTAATATTATTTTGCACTACGCTTAAATCTCTTTATTAGTTATACAACTCGTTACGTATGTTTTATTTGAGCTACTGTGAGCTCTTATAGCCGATAGGTGGAGCAGATTTTTTATGAAAAATTTCGATTTGTTTGGCATGCTTGAGTTTGGCACGCTTGAATTCTCTGCGCCGCCAAACTAACGTATGTGGTAATTTCTCAGATATCCCTGCCGAACTTTCTGTTCGTCTCGTACAAGCTTACCGATGCTGGCACCTGCGTCACCACCAATCCGGCGGCTACCAAATTCAAGGGCGAAGAAACAGCCGATCCGAAACAGCACCTCACTTTACGCCTCAAGAATATACTACAAGATGTCGAAGTACAAACCAAGTGAGTTTCATGGAATTGTTTTTTATTTGAGTAGGTAGCGAGGAGTAGGCGTTTGACGTCATGTTAAGTTATAACCGCCGCCCATTGACATTTGCAACACGCGTAGGGTAGCAGATGCGTTGCCACCTTATAATAAAGTGGGCCCCGGCTACCTCACTCATCAGACGAAACGCAGAAGTATAACACTTCCACTTTACGCTGGTCTTCTGTGAGGTCCTGGTACTTATACGGACGGATCTGCCCTTTCGTGTAACCCAAGCAGACTTGCGTGGCCCTACACAAATGTAATGGTTCACGTTATGCCGCGTCATTGGCAATGTCAAGACAAAATACGGGTTTGTCCTTCTAAATTATTTCGACCGTGGCCACGTATTTTTCATGGAACGTGCTCGTTTAAATGCTACCTAAATTAGGCTTAGTCATGGGGAAGTGTTGGATTTACCAATATCAATGTCACGATAGTTAAAAGTTATTAATTTGGCTATGACTTGATCTTGGCTCAATTGACCACGCGCTGAGCCATGCCATCGCAATAATTGTGAACTGTCTTTTTAGAATTTGACTGTGTACATTTTGCGTAGTTTTGTATGAGATTCATTTTATGTGAGTTTATATACCAACTATCTAAATGCGTATTTACTAAACTTTGCACTTTAAAATTTATATTGGCTTATATTAATGAAAAAGTAATAACAAAAGTAGTTCATGAAGCAGACATACTTTATTATATGATGCACCAATAAGGAATTGAGTTCCATTTAAGACTGTTTGTTTATAAGGCTAATATATAGTTCTTCCTTAGAACTCCTGGGCGCCTGCTCCAAATACAAATAATCTACATAATACCTTATGTTACGGAATACAATTCTTTCAAAACGTAAGATAACATAAACGCATAGCTGTAACGGACAAGTAGTGCTTTTCACTAGAGCCACAAAAGTATAAATTATTTCTAAAAAAATGATAAATTCTAAATATTTGTTCGTATTCTGAACTTAAAAATATTTTTTGTCTTCAATACTCGTACTTAGTAAGACATCATATTCAATTATTATCATTATTTTGTGGTTCACAGCAACTGAGTTTAAATTCGTAAAGTATACGTGATAAAGTACGGTACAGTCAACTCCGACAAGACTCTCCAGTATTTCGTGTACCGATTGCAAACTACGGTACAGTCTATTTATTTATTTATTTAGTCAACAATGTGGGAGCTCTATAGTACTTCCGTGTACATATTGCGCCGTTTCCCATCTCCGTTTCCCTAAGAATTAGTTAGTGACGTGTTTGCGTAGTGCTATACAAAGTACCTTAGAGTCAACTCCGACAAGACTTCAGTGTTTCGTGTACCGATCGCAAACTGCGGTACAGTCTATTTATTTATTTATTTAGTCAACAATGTGGGAGCTCTATAGTACTTCCGTGTACATATTGCGCCGTTTCCCATCTCCGTTTCCCTAAGAATTAGTTAGTGACGTGTTTGCGTAGTGCTATACAAAGTACGTTAGAGTCAACTCCGACAAGACTTCAGTGTTTCGTGTACCGATCGCAAACTGCGGTACAGTCTATTTATTTATTTATTTAGTCAACAATGTGGGAGCTCTATAGTACTTCCGTGTACATATTGCGCCGTTTCCCATCTCCGTTTCCCTAAGAATTAGTTAGTGACGTGTTTGCGTAGTACTATACAAAGTACGTTAGAGTCAACTCCGACAAGACTTCAGTGTTTCGTGTACCGATCGCAAACTGCGGTACAGTCTATTTATTTATTTATTTAGTCAACAAAGTGGATACGTATCGCGCCGCTTCCCAGGGCCCACCTGCAGGAGAAGTTCCTGTCGGACCTTCGGAAAGCGCGCGAGACCTACAGCGGCGCCGAGCTGGCGAACGTGTTGCACGCGATGCGCCGGAGGCTGGACGACCCCGCCGTGCTCTCGGGCGACACGATCCTGAACATGCTGATATCGTACAGGGAGATACAGGACTACGACGCGATCGTGCAAGTGGTCGACGACCTCAAGACGATCATGAACAGGAAGAACTACGTGAACATGCCGATCATCAGGTTCCTGCACGCGTTCGCCATGAACAGGTGATTTTAGGGTTCCGTGCCCGAATGGTGAAACGTTAGACCCTATTGCTAAGACTCCGCTGTTGTCTGTCTGTCGCCATGCTGTATTCCATGAACTGTTGTAGTTGAAAACACGGTAATTCTTTTTGGGGTTCCGCACTCCGTACCCAAAGGGTAACGCGACCATATTACTAAGACTCCGCTGTCTGTGTGTCTGTCACCGGGCTGTATTTCATGAACCGTAATAAAAAAATGTTTAAGTGGGGCTCCCATACAACGAACCTAATTTTTCTGTCGTTTTTATAGATAATGGTACGAAAGTCTCCGTGCGCGAGTCCGACTCGCACTTGGCCGGTCTTTTTAAACTCTCGTGATTTCGTGCTTGTTTCCAACAATGTATTGCGCTTAAAGTGTTGTCTCAGCGAGATTCGGGCCCCGTTTTGTTATATAATTATTATCATTCTTATAGAAGATGCTGACAGTTTACGCAACGTCAGCACACTCGTCCATATTCCTGTCAGCTCGTCAGTTAGCTAATAAGCCCATCTCGAACACCTTTCAGTGTGGGACGACCCTCCACTAGATGGAGTGGCGACCTGTGCAAATGTGCGGGAAGTCGATGGATGCAGGCGGCTCAGGATCGTACTTCATGGCAGTCTGTGGGGGAGGCCTATGTTCAGCAGTGGACTCAAACAGGCTGAAATGATGATGATGATGATGAACACCTTTCTCTAAAGCTCGTCTCTCATATTCAACAATTTTATAATTTTAAATATGTTATTTTAATATCCTTTTAAACTTTTCGTTAGTCATTACTGTGGTTGTCAACCAAACTGTGGTGATGATAAACTGATGCAGAAAGTAACTCACGAAGTGTCCCTTCCATACTAGTGATGGAAAACACAAAAATTCATTTGAATTCTTTTCACCATATAACATTATATGTAACATCTATTTAATGTATTCCGGGGGATTTGTATCTTTTTTGTTTAGGAATAAAATCCTGAAATTACACGTACGGCTTAAAGCAAATACTGTTTATTTCTGTCCATCCTTAAATTCATTGGTATCAACAAGCTTAGCTTATGTAGGTCCAAAATGTACAAATGTTCCAGGTGGTGTACTTGTCGCAGTACATCAGACTCTGTGTCTGAAAGTCATTTTGAACATAACAAATACGAAAAAGGTGGAAATTCCTTTGTACACAGAATGGAGATAATATGTATAATATGTATAATACAACAAAACCTTTTAAATTAGCTTATATTTATGTTATGTTTACTACAATACTAAAATAAATTATTATTCGGATTTCATTTAATTTCACTTAAAGGTCTCATTTTAAAAACATGATAAAGCGTAATTTCAAAACTAGATTTTTATCGCATATCTAATTTTATATTAGTCCGAAAAGAACGCGGGCGTATCAGTACACTTTGCACGCTAACCGAAAGGTCAAGTGTTATTAAAACACGTACACTCACGGAAGGATCGCAAATGAATTAGTTAATGCAGTTTAGAAACAAGCAATACAATTCAGATAGTTAGCTTTGCTTTATTTTTTATGAGAGAAAAAGATAAACGAACCGACATACATCCACAATATATGGGGAAGTAATGTTGTCATAATTTAACAGATTAGGCCGCAGTTAGGTACCTCACTCACCAGACGAAATGCATAGGTCTATACATAATATTCTCGTACTTTCCGCAGCTCTATTTCTAGCCCAGAAGTGGATTTTTTTATGTGAAAAGTTGTCACGTAAGCGGTTTACATGTTAAGTGAATACCGCCGTCTATGGACATCTGCACAACCGATGGTTTTTTTTTTGTCATTTGTTCCAACTGTATATTTTATACACATTGTGTGTACAATGAAGAAATCGAACAAACAAACAAAATTGTTTTATTTTTATTTTAGACGGAATAAAGAGGGCGACCGCGAGAACGCTTTGAGAGTGTGTGTAAAAGCTTTGGAGAAGAAAGAGAATCGTTTTCCCGACATGCTGTGTCTCTGTGGGCGTATTTATAAGGACAAATTTGTGGAATCTCAACACACCGATATGGAGAGTTTGAAGAATGCCATACACTGGTATGTAGTTATTGTACACCATTGACTCCTTGACGACATTGCAAATATTAGGCTTGACTTCATTATTATTTTGATAGATTGTACATCACTTTGGAGCTATATTAACTCTACTTGTTTTAACCAAAATGCTCGATTAATGCCATTTGCCGTGCATTATAACAAATAATAATATATTTAATTGTGTCTAAGTATTAGTACAAATAAATTTCATATAAATCGTAAAAACCTTAATGCTAGTAATAACCAAAATAAAAAGTAAGTTAACCAAAATAAAAGTCGGGCGCCGATTCTATACCTTGAACAAAATTCTTGTCATTACTTTCGGGACGATTTACCACAAATAAGCATATTACAAATATCTTTGAATGTACGCAGCCGCTTTAAAAAATCATTTGACAATAATTTTGATATATCGGAAGCATTTTACCAATTAATATTAAATTTTTGCTGACTATGAACAACATTAAATTGTGATATTAATAATGTAATAATAGAAATACAATATTTACCATAAACTTTCAGGTACAGACAGGGCTTTGAAGTGCAGCCAAATGAATATGCGGGTATAAATTTAGCGACATTATTAGTTATAGCCGGCAATGACTTTAAAGATTCTCAAGAATTGCAGCACATTGGTTAGTACTTTCATATTTATTATTAATTTGGCTTGGTATAATTGACCAACGAAATGTAATGTATAATATTAAAATAATGGAATCTGTTATTCTTGTACGTTCAAACTAAAATGGTTTGATTTTTTATCATTCTATTATACTTATTTATGTGTAGTTTTATTATTATAGTGGGGGATATTCATTTGTTTTCTCGTCTGGTTGGGTTTATAAAAAAAATAAAAATATAGATATATATGCAAATAAACAATTAATAATAATAATTATTATTTTTGTGTAGTTTGTTAAGTTATTATAAATTCATTTTAAAAGGTATAAAGTAATTGAATGGAAATATTTTTTTTTTTTTGATTAAAAAACATAAACTTAAATATAACTCTCATTATGTTTGTAGGACGAGTGCTGAATCATTTGATTGGAAAAAAAGGCAGCCTCTCCTCACTTAAAGACTACTGGGACGTTGCAACTTTCTTCGAGATATCGGTGCTCGCCCAGGATTATGTTAAAGCCATTCAAGCTGCAGAGTGTATGTTCAAGTTGAAACCACCGAACTGGTACCTCAAGTCCACCATAGGAAATATTGAATTGATAGATAGGTATGACCCATACGATTTGTTGAAAGAGGTCGCTATCAAACATACAGTATGATTATTGCACAATATAATTGCCTCTGAAAGAGTAGTGAATAGTCGATCAATCTGGGTTCAACTCCCAGTAACGGCGCCAATGAAATATTTGCAATATTATACAGCGTGTCGTTACCATCGCGACAGTAAATGAACACACGTCTAATGGTACTTACGAATAATCATAAAAAAATATTAACGTTAAACAAAATCCATAATTAAAAAAAAATAATTTCAAACAAACTAATTAAGTAAAAAAGAGACAAATTTGGAACATCCTATACAACTCGCGCCACAGCGTCGCATTACAAGCCTCTCCTTCTAACAGTATGTTTTGTCTCTTTTAAATTCATTCAACCCATTCATATGCTTTGACTATTTTAAAAAGTTAACCTCTATATGTGTTCATTTATTGTCGCGTGGTAACGACACGCTGTATAAGGAAAATATCGTGACGAAATCTGCTTATTATCTAACAAATTGCCGAAGTCAGTTATTAGAGATATGACTCTAGAATAAAGATATACATATATGATTATATAGCTGTACTTTCCTTTCAATTTTTTTACTTTTAAGAAATCTATACTTTATAGTGCATTATATGATGTTGAAAATGTAAATTCGGCTGTACTAATTTGACTTTTTGCAGGTTTAGGAAGAAAAGCGAGGAAACCTCACCGGAGCAACAAGTCTTCTCCTTCTGGATGGAGTTTTTCGTCGAAGCGACAAAGAGCACGTGTGAAAATATCATAAGGTTTCCGGTAAGTCCACTTTGCTTCGTAAAATTTATCTTTTACCCTGAACGATCACGAATGTTCGATTGAGACAAACCCCCCCATGTGTGATTGTGTGTTATTCGTCTTAATTGCAAACATCTGGAATAGGGAAGCAGTACACCTTCATTGTTGATGAACTCCTGGGTCGGTTTCAGAAGAAGTTTGTGTTGTGTTTACAAGCCGTGATAGCTCAGTGTCCGGGAGCTCGCTTTTAATTTTTAGCACAGGTCTACTTAAGTAACCTGATTTCGTATCCGGTACCGGCACCAAATAAACTAATTAATTAGTAATTGAAATTTTAAATTCCGCCTCATAACGTGCTCGACGGTGAAGGAAAACATCGTGAAGAAATCTGCAGATTTTAGATTTTGAAAAAACCAAAAAAAATTTTTTTCAATAGTACCTATATTGTGTCTGCCAATCCCCATTGGGACTACGCTTTAATTCATTTAACAAAGAGACCTTTGTCCAGTGCGATTGGATGAATATAGGCTGTTATTTTACATACTTTCACTTTGTATTCATCCCCCCCCCCCCCCCCCCATCCCTACACCCATATTCAGGTGCTAATACTGGAGACCACGAAAGTGTACATGCCGTCGTACGTGAACGTGAACATGGGCGCCGAGCAGAAGTCCCTCGAGATCTTCAACCTGTGCCTCGACTCGATGCGCGGCGACTGCAGGCAGGTGCACCGCTGGCTGTTCACGTCCGACATGATACGCACATACAGGTCGGTATAGGTTAATCTGCTAGTAAGATTGTACGGTTTGACAAGTAGCCTACGCAGCAAGTGGTCAATGCACGAAAAACAAATGGCTCGTTTGGTGAAGTATAACGACAATGAGTTTAAAAACTTTTCGAATGATGAAAACATAATAATAATTTCAAAACCTATTGTAGGTAGAGTATTTCAACGCGTGTTTTGCCTTTTTCATTTTTTATACAGCTTCGCTTATACATAGTTTGGAGGACTATTGAAATTATTACTACCCTTTGGTTCTACCCTGTATATATCTCGCACGCGTCTCTTGAGAAGTGGTAGCATCGTATTGAGATCCTGCTAAATAAATTTAGCAATCTGGAATGTTTCGATCTGGTGTCAATTTTCCTAAGTGGTTTAAGCATAGTGCCTCAAAGAAGACCAAATCTATACGGAAATATGGAGCCACGTGAAAGCTTCCGCTGTTGCATAAATGGGCTGACTCGTCTGCGGATGTACCACAGCGCCACAGGAGATCAACGCAAAATAAATGTTTTTAACAGTTGAACATCGCATGCTTGTTTGTGACCTCATATTGAAAAAGCAATATGAATATATTCTTACAGTTTGTACAAACGCGACGAGAGATGCCTGTTTCTGTACGTGAGCGAGAATTCGGACGACTTCCAAATATTCTTGCCGTCTCAAGCGTTCCGGCAGCACTTATACGACCTGCTAGGCGAACTGACCGCGGACCATGAGAAACTCACCGACTTAGACACCAGCGTCATGCAAGACCAGCTCAAGGTAACTCGACGCTTAATTATTTCAGGGTTTATTCTTCAACTGTAAGTACTGTAAACGTAAGTATGCGTAAAGCTGAAAGCATAAGTGTGTTTTAGTTCTAATTACAAAGAGTATATGTGGAAATAAGTTTAAAGATTAGCTGCAGAGCAGGCGGATACATAACGTCTTAACATAATATGAACAGAATTTGACAAAGCGCAATCCTCGTGTCCTGTTCAATTTTGCAGTGTTCGCGTAAATCCAAGAAATATATAAATGATATGATAGAGTTTGGAAAAACTACTGGATAGATTTTAATAATTGTGCTGAGTTTCTTTGTTTAAAAGTTCGACCCTTATCTGTAATAAAAAAGTATCGTGATATTTTAATTATACATATACAGCGTGTCATTACAACCGTGACAATAAATGAACACACGTCTAACGCTACTTGTCAATAATCATAAAAAAGTATTAACGTAAAAAAAATCCATAATTAAAAATATTTTTTTTTTCAAACAAACTAATTAAGTAAAAAAGAAACAAAATTTGTAACATCCTATACAACTACAACTGACTAATTCATACATTCAGAAACTTTTTCATTACGTTACCACAGTGTCGCAATAGTAGCCTCGCCTTCTAATAGTATGTTTTGTCTCTTTTAAATTCATTCAACCCATTCAAATGCTTTGTGACCTTTACAAATGTACTTTACGTTACAGTTTTATACGTAAGGGTGTTCTAAAATTCTTTGTTTTGGAAAATTTAATAGCTCTGTAATATTGATGTTTAGAGAATGTAAACGTTTAATACAATTTTAAAAAGTTATCCTCTATACGCGTGTTCATTTATTGTCGCGATTGTAAAGACACGCTGTATAGGTGTATTCTTATATAAGCTAGGCGTATCACGGCGTGCTAGATAAAATGCATCGTTGATATAACAATAATACACCGAGGTTCAGGCTAGGCGCCTCGAGCGCCCGGCCACCTCAAGTCCGTCGGATCTGTAAAGGCCCCTAAGGCCGACAGTGGATCATCCAGCCATCAAAAAAAAAAAATAAATAAACGAACTACCGGCCACTTCAAGTCCGTCGGATCTGTAAAGGCCCCTAGGGCCAACAGTGGATAATCCGGCCAAAAACAAAAAAAAACAAACGAACTAGTGTCAGAGCACCAGTAGACATGTAAAGTGACAGCGTATCCGTCGCCGCCGGCGCAGTTCGAGTACGAGTACGACGGGAGCAAGCGCGTGGTGCTGGGCAAGGGCACGTACGGCGTCGTGTACGCGGCGCGGGACCTTAACACGCAGGTGCGCATCGCCGTCAAGGAGATCCCCGAGAAGAACCTCGGCGACGTGCAGCCGCTGCACGAGGAGATCCTGCTCCACTCGCAGCTGCGCCACAGGAACATCGTGCAGGTGAGGACCAAATATATATATATATATATATATATATATATATATATATATATATATATATATATATATATATATATATATATATATATATATATATATGTGTCCGGGCGCTCGCCTTTAATTCAATATACTCGAGCAACCTGAGTTCGATCCCCGGTGCCGGCACCAATGAAGTTTTTAACTTTAAGTGCTGACTTATCACGTGCACCGCGGTGAAGGAAAACATCGTGAGGAAACCTGCATATTTTCGATATAATAACAAAAAAAATATATTTCGAAAATATGTGAAGTCCACCAATCCGCAGTGGGGCCGCGTGGTGGACTATGCCCTGATACCCTCTATATAGAGGAGGCCTTTGCCCTGCAGTGGGACATGTATAGGCTGTTACTTTTTTTTTTATATATATATATATATATATATATATATATATATATATATATATATATATATATATATATATATATCCACTTTGATTTCATTTTGATCAATGAATTTCGTTCGATTTGTCTTTATTGCGTAACGTAACTGGGGATTTCACAGTTCAAAATACATAAGAATGTAGAAAAAAAGCCCTCACAACCCTTTTTTTCTGTCGTCCCGCACCCCTCGACGCAGATCGTCTTAAACATTTCTTATAAATATTTTGATTTATTTTTATGTATGAAACCATCTCTTTCGTCTTTATCGCACAGCGTTTCAATTAAATGGTTTATTTTTTGCAGTACTTGGGTTCAATATCAGAGGACAACTACTTCAAAATATTCATGGAGCAAGTACCCGGAGGGTCTCTGTCCGCCCTATTGAGGTCCAAGTGGGGTCCGCTTAAGGAAAACGAAGCGACGATTGCGTACTACACCAAACAAATATTAGAAGGTGAATATTAACCTTAATACATTCTACAATCTCTTTCTCAATTCATTCGCAATTCATGATTACTCACGATTTTATAAGACTCAGATTAGTTTATTACGGGAAACGTGACACTTACCACAAGCTTTTCTTTAGTACTATTTATATTGGAAGCCAAATTGTGTAAGCCTCGACCATTGAGTACACTTGTTAAGAGTACCATACTTTTGTTTGCATTCATTACTTTTGGCGCTGGTTACATTTTAATAACTCTGACTTGAATTGACGTCTTGACGTCTCACATATTTTTAATTAAAAAAAACCTTGCAGGTCTGAAATACCTGCACGACCAGAAGATCGTGCACCGCGACATAAAGGGCGACAACGTGCTGGTGAACACGTACAGCGGCGTGGTGAAGATCTCGGACTTCGGCACGTCGAAGCGGCTCGCGGGGCTCTGCCCCTCCACGGAGACGTTCGCGGGCACGCTGCAGTACATGGCGCCGGAGGTGATCGACAAGGGGCTGCGCGGATACGGCGCCCCGGTGGGTCTCGCTACTTTCCATTCGTTAGAAAGGGACGACAATAGCGTTCGGCATCTAGCTGATGCCTCAATTGATCTCAATTGGCGTAGTTAATAGTGACCCTGTCTTTTGCGCCAGTGTGTGGGCACGTTCTCCACTTCTGGAAAAATATTGTGTCATAAACATAGTATTTTTCCTAGTGTCTGGGTATATATATATCTATCATATGTATTTATTAACAGAGTTCAAAAAAGGAGGAGGTTTCTCAATTCGACCGTATAAATATATATTTTTATGTGTGTTCGGGGATAACTTCATCATTTACGAACCGATTTTGATGATTCTTTTTTTTATTGGAAAGGAGATATTATAATGGTGGTACCATGGTGAGGAAACCCAGATCTGATGATGGCATCCCAGAGAAATCGAGGGCAATCTTCAAATGTTATAGGTGTTGACAATGTTTTTAGTTTCCTGTTTGAAGTCGGTTTTTTTGTTCAAAATTATTCTTGCACCATTTGGAACCGTTAAGCGATTCTATTACTTTGGTCTACTATAATGTTATAAATACATAGTGAATGAATATTACATTCATTCACTCATTAATTTATAAGAACATTAAGACTTCTTTTAGCATAGTCAGTTAGTAAACAGAAATTCACTGACTGTTTCGTATTCAATATTCTTAATCGACTTCATTTTTAGGCTGATATCTGGTCGCTGGGCTGCACGGTGGTCGAAATGGCAACGGGCAACCCGCCGTTCATGGAACTGGGATCGCCCCAGGCTGCCATGTTTAAGGTAAATTTTAATTGCTTATTCGATGCGTAGAGTATTTATTGTAATAATTTGAAATTTATGAATTAATACGATATTATCAATCAAAGTGACAAATATGTACCACGTGTAAGACATTCGTGCTAGTTTTATGCTTATAAGCATCCGCTGTTTATTTTTAATTACCTTTTTGTTTTTGAAAAAAACTGACATTATAAGGAATTAACTGTTGTCCCACTGTGTAAGAAGTTTCTGGGATATTTATGCAGGTCGGTTACTACAAAATGCATCCGGAAATCCCCAGCGAACTCTCGCAGAAGGCGAAGAACTTTATACTGAGATGCTTCATCCCGGAGCCAGAGAAGCGGGCCACAGCCGCTGAGCTGCTTGAAGATCCTTTCCTTAGCGAGTTAGTATCCGATTCTATTTAACAGACAAAACTAGTTTCGGTTATTACGTTCCAAATATAAACGTGTTACGTATACATTGGTCGCAACGAAAAAAATATTTTGCAATGCTTAGTAAAATATTATTTGATCTTGTTTTTATGTGAGAAGGTGGCAAACGAACCGACGATTCACCTGATGTTAAGATATAACCGCCGATCATTGACATTTGTAACACCCGTAACAGATGCGTTGCCACCTTTTAATAAAGTGGGTCTCAGCTACCTCACTTACTAAAAAAATTGTAAAAGAATGTCGTGTGTTGAAGGTTACTTATTAATATTATATAAAAAGTAATGGCTATTGTTTTATGTGAGAAGGTGGCAAACGAAGTGGCGATTCAACCGATGTTAAGCGATAACCGCCGCCCGTTTGCAACACCCGTAAGGTTGCAGATGCGTTGCCGTTTAATAAAGTCGGCCTCGGCTGCCTCGCTGACAAAACGAAACGCAAAATATAGTATCTGACACCAATATTAAAAGACAAATATTAGTTTTAATTTTTACTTACCTCATCAGACGAATGTCAACCACTTTATATGAATGAAAGGTTCAAACAAAAACAATTTGATTTTCGCTATACTGCGCTGTAGCTATTGTTTGCAAGGTCACTGTCGCAGCCGTCCGAGTTGCCTCGAAGTGCGGGCCGGACTGAAAACCGGTGTCGGGATCAGAACTAGTTACTGTATCTCGACTTTTACCGAGTCCCGTCCGTTTCACGGTCTTATGCTGCTACACAGACCGTCACATGTTGTTGTTATTTTTATGTTTACATTTATTTTAAGTTTCTGTGTAGTTTACATTATTATTTTTAAGTTTTGTATGTATTCATTTGTTTTTAGACCGTGAATAAACGTTTCTTCTTCAAAAGTATGACACTTCCAGTTCACGCCGGTCTTCTGCGAGGTCGTGGTACTTACCCATACGGACCTGCCCATTCGTGCAACAGGGAATACTTGCGCGGCCCTACCACAATTGGGCCATAATGGGCCCCTTTTAAACCTACTAAAATCGCTTGTGGCGAAACTTGTATATAAACAGTTCTTACTTGTCCTGCACAGGAAAAAGAAATCGTCCAGCCGCCTGGGCGGCAGTGTGGACTACAGTAGGAGCATCTCAGTGCCAGCGGACAAAGCGCGTCCCGCTGCCCAGAAGAAGATCTCTGAGCCCAGCATCCCCAACCACCTGCCCAGCTCGCCGGAGATCGAGTGAGTGGAAACCGACCCTGTCACTGGACAATAGAGTTCTTTTTCGTTAAGCAACGTAACGAGCATGGATTTTAGTTTTTACTGATCGGTTTTCCTTTACCAACGGTGCTTTACATTCTGCATCCGTTATTAATTATTGATACTTTTCAAAAAAGGACGATTTATTTGCATCTCTTTAAATTTTTATTACAATATAGAATTCACTATCACAGTCTCATGAGCATGGTTGTCACGAACGATTTTCAAGGAGTCTATTTAAGTTTATATGAGAATATATTAAGATATTTATAAATCATTCCTTTTGGGCATTGTGTTATGTTCACCGCCATATCATCATATCGAGTTTGGTGAAAGGGTTTCTATGTTTGGTACGTTATTGTAGTTAACCATATATTTATTTGCCTGTTTGAAATTAATTGATTTCGCCATTTGGAAACGATCGTGGCTGTCTTTAAAACTCTTTGGTAAGATAAATTTGATGATTTCGGACTGTGTAAATTTAAGATTTGAATTTAAATAATTTTTTAGATTAGTTACTGAATACAGTAAAGTTCGTGATTCATATTGCACTAAACGTTTTGGTTACTTATCCCTAAAATCTTCACTGACACTAATGTAATGTTTTATCATAGCCTACAGTGCAGTTGACAGCTTAATCGAGGCACAAATGAGAGATGTAACAAGTGACTTGATCTTCAGTGGCGGTTTTCGAGAGTGGGGCTTTGCAGGGGTGGATTAAGATCTTCGTATTTCAGTCCGCGTATAAGAAACTCGCCGCGCCATTAGCGGACCCGCGAATCCGCCACTGAGCATTACTCCGTCCGCTTCGCACCTATAGGCCGCGCGAAACTTAATGCGCCCGAGTGAAGTTTGCTCCGCGAGATCTACGCATGTACCGTCAAGTCGAAAAATCGCTTAACAGACCCCGTCTAATATCTAAGCAGCTCTATGTTCACTAAACCGATTAGCAATGTTAGCCGCGACAGTACCCACAGTGGGAGCGAGACAAAGCGATTCGGGCTGCGGCGAGAGCGAGAGACCGATATACAAAAAATATGCGGAGTGACTCGGGCGAACTTTGCAGGCACTTTAAGTAGGCATGTCGAAGAAATATCGATATTTTTGAAGCTATATATCGATATTCAGCCGATGTATTGATACAGAATATTCAATATCGAAAATCGTATCATTAACAATGATATTTTTTCAAATTCGAATCCGGCACACAGCCCGTAGGTGTCACATATTCAAATGTTGGCATAACATTTTTTTAGGGGTTACAAGAAACTATTTCTCATATACCGAAATATCGATATTTTCTCTTAGATATGTCGAGGGTATTGATATTTTTATAAATATCGATATATCGATATATTTTTTCACTTTCGACATCCCTAGCATTAAGTTCCGCGCGACCTTTAAGCCTGTATTTGTTTCCCCACCGTCAAGGGTCAAAACGATCCGGTCTAATCCGACCATCACTAGGACGGCCTCGTCGATGCTCTCACCGATACTGATATACCCGCCGGACCTATCGAGCAGCAGGTAACAGCCACATTTCATTGATTCCCCAACACCAGTCGATGTTCGTAGAATGCATTTAAGTGGCTTTTCAGTCGTACAGTACGCGACGTGTTTATATTAAATTCGCATGACTTTAACACTATAAAGTCTAACACTATAAAGTAGAAAAATTTATAAGGAACATGGGTCATATAACTCATAGTTTCGAAGATAATACTTATTTTCGGTTAAATAAATTTTCGTTTAAAAAAAATTCCGGTACTATCCAATTATATTGTTGCACAAACGCAGTCAGTAAGAGAAAGTGACATGCGAGAGGGGCGGTGCACTTAATGTTAAGCGATACTGCTGCCGATAACTAAAACACTTAAATGACCAAGCTGCCACCTTAAAAACAGTAAGCCTCACCCACCGGACGAAACGGAAGAGTATAATGTTTCAACTTCATGCCGGTCTTCTGGTTATATGGTGTGCCATGGGTGAGCCACTTGATCGTTCGCTACCTCCTGGAAGTAAAAGTTTTCTTTTGCGTGAAACGGTGTCAAACGAGCTGGCAGTTTCACCTGATGTTATGTGATAACCACCGCCCATTGACATTTGCAACACCCGTACAACTGCCACCTTTTAATAAAATTGGTCCCGGCTACCTCACTCACCTTACGAAACGCCAAATAGTAAATCTTCCACTTCACGTCTTGTAACTTCCCCTGACGGACCCGCCCATTCATGCAACAGCGAAGACTATTGCGTGGTCCTACCACAGTTACAGTTAGTTAACACAAAACTAATAGGACTCGAACCATTAACCGTAGATGGCAGGTGGATGCTCCAGCTACTAGGCCAATGGCCTTTGTTTAATATTTTGGATATCTGAGTTCTTCATATAATTACATCTCTGTTAAATCAGGATTATTTATGCTATGAATAATTGCCATAAATAGACCTATTTGCCTAATTTTATTGAATATTCATTATATTTTATTGAATATTCATTATATTTTTTTAATTTTTTTAATTATTTTAATCCTAGTGATTAGACGACTCAAACTATCTCATGCAATAAATAAAATAAAATATAATCAACGATGAATTTTAATATGAGCTTTAAAGACAATGCATTCTATGACCATCCATTTATTTAGCATGTTCACGTCACGTAATGTCTTGCACGCAAGTATCCATACGTTCACTCGAGAACATCAAAATCGTGCATACAGTAACAAATGTTTTTGAATTTTATAAATTCCTATTAACGCTTGTTTATACCACTAACACTACATATCGCTTAAATAAGACCTGTACTAGTATGGCGGTACAGTTGTTAAGGACAATTGTATTCTTTGTGTTTTTCTTTTAGCACAATGCCGAATACGCCTTCTACGGACGAAATGGACAACACTGACACCCTTCTGAACAGGCGAAGCTCTTCTGGTGGACTGTTGTCACCAGAGGTATGATTCTTATGGTTAACTCTTTGTGTTGTAATGTTGAAAGTAGTCGATTGTCCAATATTTTTAGTGTTGCCATTTGATAAGTTTTTCCCATTAGAAACGTTTCTTACAACAAAAACACTTAGTTAATCTTTATAAACCCATGACGTGGATCTTTTATTCATGAATATGATTTTAGTTTCAAAACTTTAAATTGCTCTAATTAATTTATAAATATAACTGAATTTAAAATTATGACTGAATTGAGTAGATGTAGTTGAAATTAACATTGTCCTATGGGATATATTAAAGATACAGATTAAAAATTTAAATTAACATCAAAGCAGATAAAGGACTATTTTTCTACATTTTCAGGTCGATATGACAAATGTACCTCGGTCGTCGATTGACGTGGAACACGACGGGTTTTACCTGCTAAAAAAGGACTCCCAGCGCCGTCTCACTCTTTCGCGCGTGTTAGAACAGGACAGCGAAAAGATCTGTTCTAAATGGATGCTGAGTATACAGCAAGACTTTGGCAACACTGTCTTAACTTTGGTACGTTTTCAACCAGCTTAATTCATAAAAATCAAAAAAATCGATTTACTTTCAACAAACTCAACCTAATTTAATCAATGAAAGGAAATTGATTTTATACCACCTTCGTAAGCCATTATAAGGCCTTAAAATTGATTGATTTTAATATATACGTATATTCCTCACTCCTCATAAAATGCTGTTACCCTTTACTTTACCCTTTTCTTTACTTTAACCACATCGCTTTTAAACAAGTTAAAAAAAATATCATTAGAAACTTGCGGTATAAATGTTACAAACAGCTTCTCCTATTACAGAACCACTTGGAGACACTGCGCTGCGCCCTAAAGGACTATATAATGGACCAGAACAAGTCGGTGATAGAGCAGGCGATAACCACGCTGAAGGAGGAGCTGGACTTCGACTCGAACGCGATAAACGAGCTGCACTCCGCGATATACATGTTCCAGGAGGCGGTCAACGTGGTGCTGAGGATGCACAGCATAAAGCCCCACTGGATGTTCGCTCTGGACAACCTGGTGCGGAACGCGGTGCAAGCCGCCATCACGGTGCTCTCGCCGGGTGAGACATTGCTTGCATTGAGCACCCTGCGCGGTTGTGTTACGATCGATATTGCTCTGAACAATTCTTGAGTTGAAGGACAAAGCATGTTTTTAAGCATCAAATCAATAGCTCAAACACGAACTACAGTATTTTCATATGGGATACGTTCTAACAGCGTAATTTCGTAATAAAACCATTAGTTTTAAGAGAAAACTATCTAGACTAAAAGGGATGCAATTTAAGTTTCATTCAAGGCTCTAAAGTTGCTTAGGAGGAATAACACCTTTTTGATATATTACAAATATAAGAATTTTTTACCATTTTATCATGCCTAAATATATGTCATTCGACACACAATCTTTTGTGAGATTGAGAGAATCTGACTTGGTGGAGCAATTGCTAAGCTATTGTCATTGGGTTCGATTCACAAATAATGGCGCAAATAATTGTTCTGGATCCAGGTGGTCAAATAATTGCACAAATAATTGTTCTGGATCCAGGAGTAGAACAAATAATTTTTCTGGAGTCAAGCAGGCGAAGTTGTCAATACCTTCCACATTTTGTACCGACCCCACCGAAGTTGGGATAAGGGCATTAAAAGATTGTTAAGGAGTATCGATAGAACGCCTTTGGGACTTTGTATTGAGCACCATTACAAGATTCATGTGTGCCAATCCTACCTAAGTATGATACGATAAGAGAAAAAAAAAGAAGACGAAATAATAATAAAAAAGAACCGTCGTTCAAGACTTAGTATAATAGTAGGGGACTAAATATGTTTAATATTTTAATGTTTTGAGAAATTACAAAAATAGGACACCTATTCGGCGTTTTTTCGCCTGTTTCTTCTGCTTTAGAGGAATCTCCACGAAACTGTGGTGGATTGAAACAAAATTACTATCGGTATATGAAATGTGTGTTTCCAATTTCGACTAAGGTACGATTCGATTTGCCTTTTGTGTACAGAGCTGGGGGCCAACCTGGCGGGGCAGGAGGCGCGCAGGGGGGGGGCCCCCGAGGCGGGCACCCCCTCCGCCCTCTCCACCGCCACCTCCGCCCGCGACCACCAGATGCACCAGCTGCGCCAGGAGAACCACAAGTACGGAATAAACAAACACTTCGCGACCAATCAAAACTGAAAAAAAAGTAAAGTAACACGTCAACAAGCCCACAAGCACGGAATAAACAAACATCCTCGACCAATCAAAACTGAAAAAAAAGTAAAGTAACATGTCAACAGGCCCACAAGTACGGAATAAACAAACGGCCTCAACCAGTCAACACTGCACAAAAAAAGTAACAGCCTATACATGCTGGGCAAAGGCCTCCTCTGTACAGAGGGTATCAGGGCATAGTCCACCGCGCGGCCCCACTGCGGTTTGGAGGACGTCAATAATTGTCTTATCAAAATATACAGGCTTCCTCACGATGTTTTATTTCACCGCTGAAAAAACACATCATAAGTCAGCGCTTAAAATTGACAATTTCATTGGTGCCGGCACCGGGGATTGAACTCAGGTTGCTCGAGTATATTGAATGAAAGGCGAGCGCTCGAACACTGACCTATCAACATAAGTGTGCATTTTAATGTTAATGACGGACGATTTATTCACATTTTTGTTTTAACGGCGCCTTTGACTATTATATAGGTTTTTTTTATTTGAGAAGGTGGCAAGTGAAATGACGATTCCGCCGTTGAACCGTTGGACATTTGCAACACTCGTAGGATTGCAAATGCGTTGCCACCTTTTAATGAAGTGGGCCCCGGTTACCTCACTCACTTAAACATACTTTTCTTTGGTACATAAACATACTACAGCTATATAAACACCCTGACACTGGAAAATAATTTAATCAATAGAATGGATCGAATCCGCACGCTCTGACCCATGACTGGTTCACTATCCACTACGCCAATCGGGTTGTCAGCTAGCAGTGATACTATAAATCAATTACTTTTACTCTGATACAACAACCTAGCGTCCAACGCAAAGATTTTTTTGCATTTCATCAGACTATCTAATTGCTTTATTAGATAGCCTGAAGAACACTCGTAATACCTCCCTGTGTTTCCTCCTTGTAATCACTACATAGTATAACACAAAGTCGTCTCGCTGTCTGTCTGTCCCAATGTATGCTTAGATCTTTAAAAGTACGCAACGAATCTTGATGCTAGATAGTGTAGTAGATTCAGGAGGAAGGTTTATATGTATAATACATTGCACCCGTGCAAAGCCGGGGCGGGTCGCTAGTTTTTACAGAAGGATGTGACAGAAAACAAATTGAAACTTTTTTTTATGTGAAAAGTTGCCAAACGAGCAGACGGTTTACCTGATGGTGAGTGAATACCGCCGCCCATGGACATCTGCTACACCCGAGGGTTACAGATGCGTTGACAACCTTTTGAAAATTGGGCTTTTAAAGGAATATCAGAATTATAAGTAATAAATAATGCAAATAACGCAATAAATATGTTTAAGCAACTAATCAGGTGAACCGCCAGCTTGCTTGCCAGATTCTCACATAAAAAAAAAATAAACATAGTACAAAAAACAAATTGCTCTATCCTAAACTCCATAACCAAATTATGAATTCAGAAAAATATTTTAATTAAAAAATCTTTGAAAATGCTTTAATAAATTACTTCAGAAGATAATAACGTATATGATACAAGCAATTATGGTCGCACTAATTATATCAAATTAGTTGTATAGGTTTATAAAGGAACAGTAATTATATCTTTGCTTATCTAATATAAATTATCATACTAAACAGATTACATCAAGAGCTTTTGGAGAGCTACCAGCAGAACCAGTCCATCTTAAGGCTGATGTTGGAAGAACAGAAGGTTCAAACGCAGATCATACGCGAATTCATGGAAAAGAAAGTGAGGTGAGTTGTGTGCATCGTTATTATGTTGTCAAAAATACTTTTTTTTTCTTGGAAATATTTTATTTTTCTCTACTTGAAATATGTGATACTTTATTTTTCTCAAAAACAGTTGACAAATGCCAATGTGGATATATTCTATTAGAGACGTTATTCTTCAATATTATTGTCAACATCAAAAATCCAGTTACCACTTGTCCACGTTGGCCAAACCGAAAATCGACTTTGTTCGAATATAGGTACAACTTCGTGTAGTAGAAGTGAGATAGACAGCAACTTAGATTGCGGCGCGACTGAGATGATACCACTTTCCTTCTATCGCACATGTAGTCCCTCCGATACGTGATATCAACTGGAAAACTTCATAGATCTATTTTCTACGTATCAACTTGGTAACTGTTTGGTGTCTTTATAAGCAGAACGGAGCCGGAGGAAGAAGCGGCCGACTACGACAGCGCTGAATTTGCAGCGCTTCAAGACTGGGCGTCCGCTCGCAACGTGCCCGAAGCGGCGGTTAAAGCGCTCGCGGCGCAGCACTTCACGCTGACGGATCTGCTGCAGCACGCGCAGCGCGATGACATCACTAGGCTCAACCTCAAGTGGGTATCGTGTGGCTGGTATGAGTGAAACTTTGATCGTGTGATTTTATATATAATAATAAGATAACACCTTTGACATCAGAAAGTTTTCAAATGAAACCAAGTATACAATACTGTATGCGTATCAGCTCGCTGTTGAAAACATATTTTGTACGGCTATCATTCTGGTACCGTAATAATGTTTAGCTATTTCTTGTTCCTATCGTAAGATGTAAGGGGAATTTTGCACAACAAAATACGTATGGGTAGCTGTAACTTTGAACCCCTTCGAAGTGTTGCAGATTTTTATTTCATTGTACTTACGAAACCTGATTATAATCCTGGCGTTGAAGAATTGCTTAACGCAGTTTTAATTCATGTTAGATCTGTGGCCGGACTTACACGGATGGACCTGTCCATTCGTGCAACAGCGAACACTATTGCGTGGTCCTACCACAGTTAAATTGATGCACGAAGTTTTCAAACTTTTGCCAGCGGCGGTCTTATGCCCAGTTCCCATATTCAACGAGCGACTATTAGTGTCATAGCTCCGTAACTTTCGTAACGACTTGTAGATTAAAGGAACGCTAGTAACTCACTTTCCGTAGGTAATGCAACGGCCCGTAAGGAAAACGCCTCGTTTTGTTAATATAGGAACAGGGCGTACACGCATTTTATACACAAGTCGTTATGAAAGTCACGAAGCTATGTAACTGCAGGCCGTTCGTTGAACATAGGAACCGGGCTTTAGTCCGCAACATGAACAGGACCGTCTTATAATAATTGTTTTTTCACCGCGATAATTTCAGAGGCGGCATCGAGCTGCGCCTGTGGCGTGCGATAGTCGAGCACCGTCTGCAGTCGAGCTGCCCGAACAACCTGCGCCGCACCAGCAGCACCGAGACCGACATGGACACCAACTCCATAGTGGTGGTGGAATGTCCGCAGTGCAAGGCCGCTAGGACCCTGTCGAACAACTCCTCGTGCTCCAACAACCCCACCATCGTGATAAGGGACCAACAGTTGATCGGCGAGGACGCTGTGGCGGAGTACTGCACGGAGAACGGGGTCGTCAACCTCTGACTATTGCGGGGGTGGTGTACTCTACAGTGAGGCCCTGCGGCTGGCAGTGTTTTAACGCGACTCTCCAACCATCAGTCTTCTTACGTTTATCTCCGTTCAGTATTCGTTCACATCTCAATTTGAATGCTTCTGTGAAATAAAACTATTACATACATCTCTTGCAGTATGTGGAGATCCGTCCGATGCATCAACAATTGTAGTACCGTTTAGTAATAACAAATACCGAGTGCAAAAATACTGTAATCAGATAAGTACTATTCTCAAATATTCTGCTGGCACCTTGAAGAAATGTTAAGTAATTTTATGCAAAATATACTTTTATTAGCGGAGTGTGAACGCATTCTGTCTAATGTTGTTATGTCTACATCTGCACCCTATTGGCTGTTTTATCACTTATAGTATGAATTATATAATTCAGATAAAAACACAAACAGAAAATAATGCGTTATTAAAGTTAACTTGCTTATAACATAAAATAATAAATATTAACTTTACAGGTCCTTGTCAATACATTAAGGCTGTTCGATAAATTATTCAACTATTGCGTTAATGCTTCATTCTGAAAGTTTTTCGCTTTCAGACAGATCTGTTAAGTCGCCAAAAATAACTGCATGAGGCCTTGAGTGTATCACCCACTAACGTTCATATGTAAATAGAACATATTGCCACTAGTCTTTTGTGTATATAATACTTTAATCACTAAAGCATAATATTCAAGCAATAAATATAAAATGCACACCGACCTTCAGAAAGAATTGGTTAATTCCGGCTTCGTAGAGCGTTATTTCTGTCCGCACACTTACGACTGATAAACGTCACAGGTGGTGTCTGAGAGAGATGACGCTCTACGAAACCGAAGCGGGTTGTCTCTTTCAGAATGTCGATGTGCAATACTTATCGCCAAGTACTTTATACGTTGTTTTCGTAAGTTTGATCCACATCCTGTCGGTGCGTCGGGCAATCCAACATAGTTCCGAGGAATGTTTAATTTCCTATGAATCGAACGAATGTTTACACAACAGACTTATCGGCGAGGATGTGGATTTGTAGATTAGACTTAGCATTATTTACATTCATAATGTCTGCCTACACGCACGATAATATTTGGTGCTATCAATTGTGATTAACTTGCTACACGGAGTGCCTTTCATTATAAGTCAAATAAATATTAACCTCGTTGGAATAAACACCGTCCCGTCATCAAAGGTGCTTAGAATTGTACATTCGCTAAAAGGATATCAATGCGACGTATGCGGCACATTTGTGCGAGGGAGAAAGGTGAAAAGTTATAAACAACTTGTATTGTTACGTGTGCCATAAACAGGTATATCTGCACGTGCACGACTTAAAGTAAACCACGAATATTTCGAGAATGTTCTCTGCAAAGCTTTAAGCGTATCTCGAATTGTTATTCGATTTACATTTGAGAAAATTTAACAGTAAAACGATAATGTCTCCTTTTAAATCAAGTTGATGTTTTGCAATTGTTGAGTCACCTAATTTGTGGTTAACCTTAAAGTCGTACTGTAGGGTCCTTTTAGTATATCTATTTGATACATAGTTTATGATGCGTTAGATTGTTAAGAGAATACTAATATTTTGTTATATACCACGTAAATAATTTAAGTATAATATTTTGTATCCGATGCAGAATATAACGTTCTGACGTATTTTATGCGGAATTTACTAAAACATGTGAATTTGTTTTCATAATTTAAATTTAATTATGGTCAATTAATTCGTTATGGTTATTAAGTTACTTATAACTATTAAAATTAGATATATTTCTGCACCACCTTGGTAAGAGGTGACTGTAGTTGAAAATGTTTGATTTTTCGTTTCTTATTGCGAAATGCTTATGAAAATTTAAGGTATACGTTAACATGTTTTAAATTCAATTGTATATTTTAATTATGCTTATATAACACTAGCACTAGTAACAAATACTCAATAATTAAATATAAGAGTTATTGTAAAGTACAAAATATATTAAAATATCTACTTAATTTGTTGAGGAATCTTTATAGGTTTTCGCAACGCGAGCCGTGGCATCTTTCTTTTTTCATTAAAGTACTTATTACATACTAATGTTATTTATAAGAAATTTCATCCACCTAGTCTTTCATTGCAATTGTTACACAGTTAGGTGTATATTATATTTGCTGTTGGAATTAGCCGCAGTGCACTTTTTGTCCGCTAAATATTTGAAATTAAAAATCGTGGTCATTATTTACGTAAACACTTTATATAAAAATCAAATATGGATTATTACTTTTAGTCCCTCCGAAAATAAGGCACCTGATCATACATAAATTAATAATTTTTCTTGTTAAAATTATAAATCATTTGATAAATAGTGTTATAAGTACATTGAATGATTAGAGCTAAACTTTAACAATTCTTTAGAACATAATTTCAGCTATACAGCATTGTATTGTGAAGGACAATGATTGTATAACCCTGTTACTACATATTTATTCTTAAAATCTATTTAATTCGTGGTGAAATAAGTAAATTGTTAAAAGGAATCTCAGAAACAGAAACAGTTGATTTGAAAGAATGGTTATATATTTTTAATACACCTCTTTAGTATACGCTGTAACTAATATGTGATTTGCTGAAGATTATATCGTGTTTAAAATGACCACAAATTATATTTTTTGCTACCATGATTATTGTAATGTTAACATTATTTAATAAAAAGTGTTATACTTTTCTAATAGTATAATTAATTATTATTTGATTCAATCGTGTACTATTATGACTTCTACAATTGTTATTCTGATTTTTCATTTAGTTTTTTTTTCCGTTTAATACAAATCCACGCTTGTAACCCAACTGAAGTAGCAATTAAAGTTCTTTTATCATTGTAATGTTTTTAAATTTTGCCAAAGAAACCAGAAATCTTCACCCCTACTTTCATTAACTTGTACGATGATACCAATTTCGAGGATTAAATATGTGGTAAACTTCACTTGTACTTAAAATTGTATTGTCAGTAGAAATCTAGCAATATAATAAAATAAATGGAATATACTAATATTAAACTAATTATTCACTATTTCATTAGCCATCTCTATCTCAAAAGTTATTTCAGTATTAACATAATATGTTGTTGGTTCTAGAATAATCCAGCAGTCATGCAAAATAGCTCATGATAGGCACAGATGTCGGGAGTTTTTTGTTAGTCTAAAAAACATTAACTGCGTTTTTACTAAGACAATGATATAATTTGGTTTATTTCATTAAATTATTAATTAAAATAAGGTAAGTATAAAAATACTATTATTTATTTTTATTTATGGATTACATATTTAATACGTAACAGTTTATGTACACGATGGTTATTTTATTTGGCTTTGAACATTGATAATACAATTTCAACCCTACTAGAAAATCGTGTTTTGCGGAAATAGAGGATTCAGATTCCTTAAGACCCTTGAATCATAATTTGATGATCTAAAAACTCTTCATATAGGGATTATAAGTGGGTAAAGTCACAGCGAGTTTTGATACGTGGCTTTATTTTTTTTATTTATATATTTAAACTTCATGCACAAACTACTACCAAGGCGGACAATGCCAATGGTATTTTCGACCAGTCATTCTTAGGGTGGTGTAGTTAACATAAAGGACGAATATTAACGATGAACTAATTCTGCTGACATTTGTTTAAGCATATGCTCACGAACTTTGCTTTTAAAAGAATAGCGCAATCAATACTATCCATACTAATATTATAAATGCGAAAGTAACTCTGTCTGTCCGTCTTGCTTTCACGCCAAAAGTACTACTGAACCGATTTAAATGAAATTTGGTACACAGATAATCTAGAGCCTGAGAAAGGACATAGGCAATTTTTTAATCGGAAAAAAGTGTTTTAAAGGGTTGAAAATATCTTTCTTTAAAAAATATATATATGTTAAACAAATATATTTATTTAAGCCACAGGCGAAAAGCTAGTTTAATATAATTCTTGGCCAATCTGATTTCGAGAGGTAAAGCATTGTACAGAAGGATGGACTGAAAGAAAGAAAGAAAGAAGAGTTTAAGACGTTTGAAAGATGAAGAGGATATAGTAAAAGACGATTATGGGTTGAGCGTAGGTTTATATCGTTTTTGGAAGAGAAATATTGAAAGTGAGGAGATAGATAACGTGGGGTACAGGGAGAATCAATAAAAGAAGAGTGGTTAGTACTCATAAAGAACGTCGTTGGCGAATCGGTAACCACTGCAGTCGAGAACGGTATATCGACACATGGTCGTATTTACGAAGATTAATGACGAATCGAATGCAGCTATTTAGGAGTCGGTCAAGTTTATTAAGTTGATCTGCATTCAGGTCAAAGTAACACACATCCCCATAGTCGAAGAAAGGGAAAATCAAGGCGTGCACAAGCAGGTACTAAAGTGACCGAATCCAGCGTTAAGCAGAAGTATTTATACTGTATTTTATTTATTTATTTATACTTAATTGTACACCAAAAATAAAAATATATATATATATATATATATAAAAAGCAAATTACAAATGATTATAAAAGGAAGTACAATAGGCGGTCTTATCGCTCAGAAAGCGATTTATTCCATACAACCATTGCGAAAAGAATTTTTGCTAATGAGACATAATGAAGAAAGCAAAGGGAGGTGTACATACATCAATAAGACAGTCAAAGATTTCATGAAAAATAGGAAAGAGAAAGCATGTGTTCACAGTTCCAAGTAATGGGCTTTTAATAGGTTTTTAAAAGAAAGAAGTGACTTAGCTTGTCGAATGTGAAGGGGCAAAGAATTCCACAAATGTACAGCTGTCACTGTAAAAGATTTTTTGAAGAAGGAAGAGGAATGTACAGGAGTTTGGAGGGAGAGATTGGCAGAGAGACGAAGGGACCTTTCATGGGATAAGGAAAGATACTCGAAGCGATCTTTTAAGTATTTCAGAGTAGAGGGATTAAACAACACTTACTTTTGTATTTCTTTGCTTTTAAATTAACAGC